CTAACAATCAAGAGCTTCTCTGGTGGGTGACCATCAGCGGACATGTAAGGAGAAATAAGATGCCACTCGGTCTTAACGATTTAAAGTCATAAACTACCACCAATCTGTCATACTTGAGATTTTGAATTTTGAATTTTTAGCTGTGCTCTATATTGCTTATACTTTCTAGTTGTTGGTCGGTTAAAAATCAGACTCGGTTCAAATGATTCAGTAATCGAAAATCATCGAACCAACACACAGATCGCTTTGACAAAGGACTAACGCTTGAAACGTCAGCTTTGAAACTCTTTAAAGTGGCCAATTTATGCTATCAACTCAGTTGATAGGACTAAATTACTCTGTTATACTCTCCCACAGACGGAGCGCCACAGTTCTTTAGAAACTTATCCTCTTTATTCACAGAGAGTACAAACTGGCAACCTGGGTTCGCACGAATTATCAACTCGGGCAACAATTGAACGCGGGCACGCACGAAGAAGCCCCACCCCACAAATCTGCGCCTCACCCCCACCCCCCTTCCCCCACAGATAAATCTTCCCCCTCCCCTCCTGACCCCTAAGAGTGATTAGCATCTAATTTCTCTTCATAACATCACCCCGAAATCACTCATTAAGGTCGAGAGAATAAAGGAAATGATCAATGATTGGCTGAATTTGCATGGCTTGCGATGTAAAAAAAATCCATTTTCATGACCAATATTAACTAAGGGTAAGATATCACTGGCAAGATGTCTTGAAATGCGAGCGATTATCTGCTGTTCTTTATTTCTAGCACATGCCCGGTAAGATAGGCAACGGACGCTTAAACAAGTGTGTCATCACCGGATGAAATCTCCGTTAGTCATTGTTACGCAATGCTGACTGATCATGTGGCAATCTATTGTTCACTTTCCTGCAGACGGAAACTTGCCGTGCTTGAAGCCTAACAGTCCGTGAGAGGGAAATAGCTTCCCTAAATTCAGTACATTACCAGCTATTTACCGGAGCCCAGCCGAAGGCTGGCACCGGTCATAAAATGCAGACGGTTTCTGTCGTTTTTTTTTCAAGCGCTCCTCCATCACACGTGACTCTAGCTTCACGCGTGCCTTAGAAACGCAAAACCTCTTGCCTGTTCTCTTGGCTAAGTTTAAAACAAAAAACAGAAACCTAAGATGTATTTCAAGAACGTATTTTCTAAATTAGGAAATCGAAATTATCTTTTTCGACCGGCCTTTTTTCGACTCTCAGGTCTTGAATAGGTCACTGGTGAAAGAATGAACTCTTTGTTCTAGGTGAATCAAACGCTTACATTAAACAATTGAAATATGTCATAGATAAACAATTTCCTGAAGACAAACAGTGCAAGCGTTTACGTCCAAATACCACGTGACGAGTTTTTAGCAGTGTGCGTGCATGTCGTGACTCACGCTCCCACGCTCCCACGCTCCGCAACGTGACTAGAGGGGCGAGCAAAATTTCTTGCCTGTTCTCTGGGCTAAATTAAAAACAAAACAAAACAAAAGAACTTAGTTATATTTCGAGAAAGTATGTTCTGAACTAGCAAATTGCAATTATCTTTTTCTACCGGCCTTTTTTTTTTAGGTCTTGAATACCGACACGTCACTGGGGAAAGAAAGATCTCTTTGTTTCAGATGAAATCAAACGCTCATATCAAACAATTGAAATATGTCAAAGATAAACAAATTCCGGAAGACAAACAGTGCTATCGTTTACGTCCAAATACTACGTGACGAATCTATTTAGCATTGTGCGTGCATGTCGTGACTCACGCGCCCAAAAATTTACAACGTGACTAGGGGGCGAGCCCTTTCAACGCCCACTTCAAAACTGGACACACTTCAAGATGGCTTTCATTCCATTATCTCTAAACACCAACAGGTTAACAATTCTAGGGTGTTATATGACAACCAATGCGTACGATAACAATCGGAAAAAACACTTCAATAGTTGTAAATTTTATGGTTTAATTTCAGCGTATCTCAGACTCAACAGTGATGTGTAATATTTTCGCCTTTCTATGAGGTGTAAATAAAGATTAACTCTGTGAACGTCTACCCTTCAAATACAGGCCTGCTTCAAAACTACCTCTTAATTTTGACACCCTGTTGAGCTTTAGCTGGAATCTTATTACCACAGACTGATTGATATTCCAGGCCACATGAGCAAGAAAACATATTTCGTACCTGGAAATTATCTTTCTTTACCAACACAGGATAAAACCACCCTCGTAATTTATTTCCTGTTGCAAATCACATGAAGATTCCCTCCTCGCTCAACAGACCAAAATCCAAGGGTTGATTTAAAAATAGGTTAAACCACCCGTTCCGGTGACAGAAAAAAGAAATGATGAAAAGATAGAATTATTCATTTCCGGACTCACCCGATCAAGAATTCTCCCGAATTATGCACTGACTTCCAAGATTTGCCTTCCTAGTCAGGGTAACCATCCTAAACTGCTCTTTGCTTGGTCTGAACAAAGCTTCGCTCTTTTCCCGCGGTTTCATAAGTTTACAGCTTCTATACTTTTTTTTTTTTACTGATCTCTATACCCCTTAGTGTTTCACATGCCTTGCGTAATAGCCACAATTTTTCCAACCCTACAATTAACCCCTTAAGAGTGACTTGATTTTTATCTCTCCTTTCAGTATCACCTTGAAATCGAATGTAAAGGATGACGAGAATTGTAGAAAAAAAACCATTTTGAGACACACCTGATTGTTAAGAAATTTCTTCGGCAATTATCACAGGAAATGTAAAGAGTCCTGCGTGGAGAATATAAATACTGATGTTAAGGTGTAAAGGATTAAAACATGTATGTTTGGTCGGAGGATGCCTCTCAAAAGCTAGAACAAGAAAGCAGACTCCTTTTTCGTTGCTTCGATTTATATTTCAAACACCGCCGGTTGGAAACAAAACGCTGTAAAGAACTTTTTTCCTCGCAAGGCAATTAAAGAGCTAGCCACATTCCCCCGGAAAATTTCAAACTCTAGGCTGGGCCGAAACATCCGTTATTTTAAAATAAGTACGTTTTGGGCACGCAGGAAAGGGCTTATGTCGCTAGTAAAATTAGTTTCCAGGAGGCCACAAGCAGCTAATTTTTTTAACAAAGCCGCCCTCGAGCCAAAGATCAGGTAGGATCTGTGTGAGACGCTATTCCCTAAATACTATAACATGCCAAAAAAAGACTTGCAAAGGAAAAAAATCAGCGGTAGGGTCCATAGCACAGTCACCCTACTTGCACATGTCGTTCATCAAATTTATGTAAACTGTCGCGCGCCTAAGAAAACTCTCCTGGAAACCTGAGGGTGGTGAATGGCAGAAAAAAGGGAAAAAGGAAACTCCTCTCCTAGGTAAGAATCGGTCGAGCCAAATTACCATCCCACGCGCACGAAGGTAGTTTTGTTGGCCCAAACTGTTCAACAGACCTAGGTCTAGCAAAGTAAATGGGCGCATCACCTACATAGCTTCTAACACAAACCTTTACTTCTCAAACTAGTATATGAATACGTGTGATCACTTTTTTAAGTTTAGATAGACTACGAGCAGTCCCTCATTTTGGGTGAGATCCTTCGGCAGTTAAAAAAAAATCTGCCAAAAAGAGAAAGCATTATTACGCTGCGCCTCACAACTAAAGTTCAGCGCGGAAGGATTTCGCGTCTTTGGAAAGCGTTCTGCATTAAGGATTTCGCCGAAAAAGAAGGACTTTGCCTGGTCTACATTTTAGATTTAAGAAGGAATCTCAAATTGTTTGCACGTTATCACTCATCTTTTGCCTCCTACGCACACGTGTTGGAAGTATTTGCAATACCGACCCGGAAAGGACGAAAAAAAAAAAACCACATACTGTTTTGTACACCCACGCAATATCCGGGTTCGCCTCGAGTCCTGTGATCATAAAGGCCGTCACGTAAACTCAATAGACAGTGTGACATATGGATCACCCTTTTTTTTTTAGACATTCCTCCCTTTTCATGTTATAAATAGTACTGCGCTGGCTCAACATTCGTTTTTTTGTTTGGTTTTGTTTTTTTTTTTGCCTAAATAAGCCATGAATATGTTTAAGGGAAAGAAATACGAACACCTGTTCTGTATCGTTTATTGTTCCATTTTTCGGTTGAACTGGTCATCAGATCTTTGAGAAATCCGATTCTTTTTATACTTTGCAATTTTCGCTTGTAAACAAAGCTGACAAAGTCCACTGGAAATCAAAGGTCACTAGGAAATAGGGAATCAAAGTCCGCAAGTACAGTAGCGATGTTGTTGATTTTTTAAGACGGCGTAAACGAGATTAGATTCGTTTTAGTTCACTGAAGAATTTTCGACATGTCTAGAAAACAGCAATAGTTATTTGCTCGTGATCACAACCCGAAGCAGAAAAGTTATGAAAACCGATCTCGGGCAGTGTAAGCGTACTTAAAATACTCGCGAACCTGCGCGAGATACACACACGGAAGCCCACGGGTGAAGCGAGAATCCTGCGCGTGTTATTTTAGAATCCCCGTGGCGCTCTTCATCAAAAGAATCCGAGACACACGTACGACTCTTCAGTAGTAGAGGAAGAAGTTTCATTACTTCCTCATAAAGTGTGTCGGAAACCTTGGAGCAAGTCCCCTTAATTTTTAAACCCAAATATTTGTTTGAATATTATCCATAATGGTCTCTAAACATTTCCCCTTGGTAGAGTTGGAAATTTTGTCTATTAATAAGAGCTTGTGGAGTTTGTATTTCTCAAAGGTAAAAATTTGTTGGGCAAAATTACATCCTAGTCACCCTTTACCACCTTAACATCAGTATGCATATTTCCGTGCAGTTCTCAATGTGTGATGCAGGCAAGAAGAGTTTGTTCAACACACGAGAGCTCCTAGGTTGGTTATCATTTCCTTTATTCTCAAGGTGTGATTCAGTGGTGATATTTTAGGGAGAAGTTAGATGCCCTTCACTCTTGGGGTTCGGGGTTAATGCTTTTCTTTCCCTTCCTCACACAAACAATATAAATAAAAATTGCAATATAAAAGTTAATCCCTTTATTTACAATTTGCAATAAAACTCTCTATTTTACATTATTACCAATATGGTAGAGTCAGACATAATTTACAATACCCAAAACTTGATACTGTGGTCTTTTTACATCTTTTTTCTGATTTTTTCTTCAATTTTTGTTTCATTTTAAGAATATTTAAGTAACAGTAACAAAAAAAAAAACAAAAGGTACGAATGAAGAAGAAACTAAGCTTGAATGCTTGTAATTTACTGAACTTGGGACATTTTCAGTGCACAAGCACAAGTCTAAGCTTATGAACATAGAAGAAAATAAGTATCAACAAGCTAAGAGAGTATTAGATTTGGCAAAGTCTTATAGTACACAAGGTCCAGGTGTTTCAAGACTTGGGTCCACTGCGTACATCTGTGTCCAAGAACATCTCCGAGGAAGCACCCCAGACATGTAAGGGTAGTCAGAACCTTCAAGAAGGACTCGTAATCTCATTGCAACTTTGCGACTGTGAACAGAGCCTCCAAGAAGCACACATTGTACTCCATAAGGTCTCCACGTGAAGTTGTTCCCTGTAAAGCGATGTTTGACTGTTGCAAGTGAAGATGGAATCTGAAATCCTGGTCTGTCTGTTACCAGAAGAAAGGCATCTGCCTCAGCAACTTTCCTCTCTAATACTTTCAATGGCTCCTCATAAGTTTGGCACAAGCAGGCTTGAGTGTCTTCATACATCAGCAAAGGCACACTGACATTTGCACATTCTACACAGAAAACAGGTGACAATTCGAGATCAGAAAAATAATCATCAGAATTTTTAAGAAATATGGCCTTTTGTGTAACCAGAAGTATTTAGAATTGCTGCCGGAAGCCTAAAATACACAGTGATTTCACTGAACTTTGCATATACTTCCGGTAATTCTTGATACGTGGCAGAGAAATACATAAACATCACCCCTCGATCATCAGATCGATCAAAACACAAAGAAAGCGAACAAATACAACTGTAAAAACATAGCTTTCGTGACGAAGTAATTGCAACATTTGAAAAGACACTTGTACACTTCCAACGGTTTAGCAATATTCAATTTTATTTTGACAGTTCTCACAAACAATCAGACGTGTCAGAAATGTCAGCCGTTTCACAGATGTCGGAACAAGCAACCTCCAACATCCGTTTCAGGTTTGGAAACAATTCACCAAATCGGAAAGCCGAACCCGCCCCAGAAAAGCTTCCGTGAAACCCGCAAGCATAGATAGAAATAAACTCTCTTTCCTTTGGAGCTGATAGTATCTATTTGAATTGCAAATAGTCACGAGGTCCTTAAACCTTCCACGTTTTTGTGAAAACCCACTGAGGCAAAACGAGTGAAGAACGTTATTTTTGGACATTATATGTAATTTAAAGAGGAAAATTTCGCAACCACTCGGTTTGATTTAATTTTGCCTCACAAAACACTTTTCGTCTTCACATAATCAAGGCTTTCTTAGATTATACTCCTAAGGGTTGGTTCTATATGCAAACCATATTTCGATTACCATAAAATTTGTTTACCTTCCGAGTTTGGATCTTGGCCAGTTTCGAACAAATAAATTACGCTGGGATTTTTCCCTTCCAAAGTGAAAGAGACGAGGTAAAAGAAAAAAAACTTGGAATCGTTAGCATTTCTACTCACCAAATAAAGTTATTTGATGTCCTTCGTTGCAAAGTTGTTTCAACATGTACTGCGCTTGGTTTAGGCCATGACTGCTAGACATAAAATCCGCGAACAATACGATTTTCATACCGTTCGGAGCTTTGGTACTCTGCAAATCCCAAACCTGGAATGAAGACGAAAACCTGATAAGGAAGATGGCTCAATACAAAAATCTACTCACAATAAACACTGAACTGCATCAATTGAAACATTACATCAGAAAAACACATCAATCACGAGTTTTCAACGTGCAGAATGTGATTTCTCAGCTGCCATGAACAAAGTCGACCTCGTCCAAGAAAAGGGCTGATGCAAGAGAACTTGCAAAATAAATTTTTCTGTTGCCCATTTCCAATTTCATTTGGTTTTGTGACTCTTGATTTTCATACCACCTCGCTGTAAAGTGTTAATAATTTAGTATTTGTCCAAATTTCGGTCACGTCCGCAGGTCGAAAAAAATTTCCTTGCCTGGAGAAGAAAGCGAAGTCTTTTCTCGAAGCGCAGGAAAATTGCGACTGCGATCTCAACTCTGAAAAAGTCTCCCTGATATTTTTATAGCAGTTGCAGAAGAAGCCTCAGGTCGATTTAAACGTTTACAGTGATAGCTGTGGACCTCCACTCAACAACAGCCTAGCTTCACGAACGTCCGCAGCAGAATGAAGAGAGAACTTCGAGCGCGCGAGGCCACATCCGACAAATCATTCGATGTAATCGAAAACCACTTTAATTTCGAGAATAGGATCCTCAGCAGGTAAAAGAAAAGGCTCAATCAACAGATATGTCCATCACCTGATGAAACACGTCTGGCCTGTTGCCAATATATTCTGCAAGACCCCAGAAAGCCTGTACTGAAAATTACAAACCGAGAATTTTGGTCACGTACCCGCGTCCGATTGGATAATTCAAACTAGGAAATAAAATTTCGAAGCAAAGTAACAACTCCACGGACTTCCAAACACAAAAAAAAAAACTGCAAACGCAAACACTTTCGATATTAATCGCGCTAACACAGCAGTTTCCGAACGGAGTTGGCGAATTTTGAAATCGCTACTTTAAATTATCAACTAATCAGACTCCTTTTCCAAATTAAAAGAGTTTCGCTCTTAAATGCTACAGGTTTTGCAATGCCTTCGAAGGTGATCGCTATGTTGCCAGTTAATGCGGTTCTTAAATACTGAACAACAGCGAAGAACAGAAATTGACGTTATAAATACGTGCCCAATACGTCCCTTCGCTTGAAAAGAAAATTCGAACGAAGAGCCAGGGTCTTTAAACTAAAATCAATTTCAACATCGATCACTTACCAAGCTAGAGCTAGGGGCTTTTGAATTTCCTTTGCACATCTTGGTCGAATTCAGCTTTTCCCAATTCAATCTCTCACGACAACCTTGTTTCCACACCGTGCGACATAAAAGCACAGATTGGCTTTACCCGTACAAGGGTTTATAGCCTTTGACAATCTCTATGACGTCACACACTCATCATGCAAATTCACACTAAGCACGTTCTTAATTTAAATCTCGCCTTCTGATTGGCTTCCAGAACAATTAATCATTCACTGCACTGACATCATGAATCAAAACCCAGATGACGGCTAAAAAAGGCATATCCAAGTTAATGACTTCTATAATCACCTTCGAAGAATAGTCTCGAATATTCATGAGAATTCTAACAAAGAACTCACTTTGAACCAGGGCGCTTTGTTATTCTGCAAGTTTTAAACAAAAGACTTGTGATTTTTCGGAAAAAACAACATACAAAGCGACGAACATGATTAAATGTTTTCCCTTGCAGCTGATAGGCTGAATCTGACACAAGGCTAAGTAGTCTGTCACAAAGATTAGTTTCATGATCAAAACCCTTTAGAAGTTTTTCAGTTGAAAATAAATATAAAAACACCAAGGTGTAATCCAAAGAGAAAAAAAAAATCCTTGACTTCTAAAAGATCTTTTTGTGTCAATGATTTTTCCCTACAACGATTACTATCTGCAGTATAAAAGGAGTTTTTATTTACATGCAGGGAGTCATGTGCAAACGGATTTTAAACAAACTACGTGCCCGCTTGTAACCGCGAACGTGACGCTCCGGATGGTGACTTACTCATGGTTGATTCTGCCGGATCAAAATTGCTTTCATCACGCTCGCAACATCTTCGAGCAACGCGCCTGATTTTATCAATCGAAGACTTGATCGATTGAGGGTTGGCCGCTCTTGCTGATTTCATCGAAGACTTGATCGGAAAAAATATAATAAACTGCGTGACCGATATCACAGTTCACCCACCTACCTTGTTTTTTCCTACGATATTGCCCCTGACAAGCTTTCTCCCTGCTCTCAAGTTTTTCATGGCCCTACTAATTCGGATTTAAACGCATTGGTAACGGAAATTGACAGAATCGAGCTAAGCCAGCTAAAGAAGAAGTCAAAACAGATTGAACTTTCTCAGACAATTTTGGAGCTCTGCCATTGAATGCATTAAAATTAGCTGTGTGCGGTTGTTCAGCCAGGATGTTTGGGTTTACCGATCATTGAATAAATTCTTTCTCTCTTCCTTGATTCAAGGAGTGATTTGTAAACATGCTTTGTTCCACCGTCATAAATTTTAAAAACTCATAAACAAAAGAGATTTAAAACTTGGCACCGTGCCCGCGCTTTTGCTTTGTTTCATTTGGTTTAATCAAAGAACTTGTGTTCGATCATGTGATCTTTGTTCAGACACACCCCCAATACACCCATGGGAGGCGTGAAACCGAAACAACAGCTTGTTTCCAGTCCAAAGTTTGCTGTTTGAATATTCTGTGCTTCTCATTGTAATGCATTTTTTTCACTCCATTTTCGGCAAGGACACAAAAGCAATATTGAATTTTGATGAGGGCAAGTTCGGGCGAAATCAGTAACTTCACGAAGACCAATACAATAATGTTGAAATTTTCATTCTTGTCTTCTTCTCTCGGCTAATTTTTGCCATGACTTGGTGCTCAATGAAGAATGTTTTGAATAAGCACTCCGAGTCCTTTCAATAAGTGAAATTTTAAACATTACCTGTGAGATTTAGTCCTTTGTTTTCCTTGAAACCTCTTCAAGCCAAAAGATCAGTCACAAAACAAAACAGTGAGATGGATTTTATCCGAGAAAAATGTTTTGCCTCATTCAAAAACAACGAGGATTTAGGCTTTGAAACCAATTTCTAACGGCAGGTAATGGAGAGGAAAAGGGGTTTTTCCCTTTCACGGTCTATCGATTCACTCTCAAGGGCGCCTTGCCTGAACTAATGGCTAAAAATATCATTTGATTTGTTGACAAGTTCCAGACATATATTTGTTCCTTAATTTCCCGGGAGAAATTACGATCAATTTTTTCTGATGGTTTACGAATGTACCTCTTGACAGGACGAGCCGCTAGTTACAGTGGGTTGTTCTTGTCATATGAATAAAGGGGGTAAGTTTTAGAGAAACTGTGGTGCTGCGTCGAAACATCAGCTTTGAAACTCTTTACAGTGGCCAATTTACGTTATCAACTCAGTTGATAATATTAAATTACCCTGTTATTGTTATAAATCGTTTTTGTTTGTCTTATAATGGAGTATGTTAAGCCGACTTATTTGGCAACGAAAAGACATAGATGTCTTTTTTTATCAGTTCTGATCTGAAATAGAGCGCTTAAGGTCACCAGCTTTCATTCTGTTAAGCTGAGGTTTTACACCCAAGACAGGAATCTGAAAGTTACCCTTGAGCTCAAATTTAAAGAAAGAGAAAGGGAACGAATATTGACTGTTTTTAAATCAACTATTATCAAATTTCGGTGTGAATAACAGTCCCTCAAGTTGTGTACAGCTGCTTGACCGGAATAAAGCTGACATATTTATCAGCTGGTGCGACAACTTTTTCGGCCCGAAAATTCAAAACAACACGAAATATTTTGAGAAAAACTCACAGGCTATTCAACCTATAAAAACTTCCACCTGTTTATGTTTTTCTCGTCTTTCTTCTCGAACATACCATTGAGCAAAAACAAACTCTAATGTGCATTGGATACAGACACGAAATAAAAATTGTTTTTAAAGGAATGAACTTGAAGATTTTTAAGTGCTCCTCTATCGAAAATATTTTTTTAGGTTTTGTTATTGAAATAAAAAATGACATTGATTTGATTTATTATAGCTAAAGACACGAAATGGAAAAAAAGTTCGTCAGCGCCAGAGGATTTAATTTAATTTTCTGTGTTGCTTTCTTAAACTATAAACTATTTTGTGACTGTTTTGTCAACAGAAACTAAAAACAAATCGTTTAAGTTAAAAATTATCTAAATCTGGGTATACACCCGCGTCACCTGAAGACCTTCTTTCTCGAATCTCCTCGAGGGCTTCGATTCTTTTGTCATCAGACTGTAAAAAATATTTATTTCAATCCAAGAAGATGCTCTTTTAAGATTAGAATGGCGCTCAGATGGAAGAGCAAATCAGCACGTGCCTTGACTGGAAAAGCTCACGCAGGCGCAGACATTTTGCAGCGGCGATCGGTAAGTGATCCGATTCCAGTCCAAAAGGCCAAGTAGCTGCATGCAAGTCAAAAATCCGCTAAACGCGAGAAGAAAATTATTGTAGCTTTGTTTTATGGAAACCAAAGAGTTTCTGAGAATGTGATGATCCACTTGAAAAACTAAACTAGTGTTCTGGTAGGCGATTCTGGCGAAACACAGATGTCTTTTATTGAAAAAAATAAGCTCTAATCTGCATGGAGCCTTGTAAAGCTTTCTAATGAAGTCACGTCTACATTCTCTCATTTTCGTGCACAGAAACACGCCAACATTTAAAATCAAAGATTGAAAACTTACCGAGAATTGTCAGGTGTAAAGCATTTTCCCGCTGCTTTCAGGTTTAACATGATAAAATTATTTATTTTATTTAATCTATTTTTTTCAAAATATTGAAAGCATTCTGCCGTGATGATTTGTTTTTCGTGCATATAAACACGATACTCTTAATAGGGTACACGTATTCGTCTCTTATTTAATTTTTTTCGTTTTCACGAATAAAAGAAATAAGCTAGACTGAAATAAAAACTAAAAAAATAAAATAAAACAAAAATCAGAAGTTCTTATGATATTTTCCATCAGCGTACGAGTACTTTGATCTCTAGCTGAATGACAGATTGCCCTGAGGAACTTGCGTGTTTCAATGCCAAAAAAGACAATAACATTGATTAGCACTCTCAGCGAGTGTTTTGACGTCAAATTGAACAATGAGCACATTGATCTTTATTGAGTCCAAAAGACTGAAAAACGAAAGAACTTATGACTATCACTAGCAATGATCATTTGGGGATGTGATCGACTAATTTTGCTTAAAAAGCTAATGAACCCAAAGTTATCAGTAAACGGTAAACTTATTCACGAATAAAATTTATGATAGTTTACTGTTTTTCCCAAGAAATTAAACCAAACAGTCTTTTTAGAGGAATATTGGCCAACAACACAGGCACGACGGGTAAACTGTCCTGTTACGAGCATGACGGGAACTCAGACTTCATAGGGTTCAAACCGGGTTACTGATAGTCAGATTCGTTCACCATGATATATTTCATTTTAGGCGTTGGTCACAAAGTGACCTCGAAAACCTAAATGTATTGTAATTTTTCCATAGTCTCTCCAATGAAACATAGTCAAGTGATTTAAAAACATTTCTCATATTCTTCCAAAATCCCAAGGGGGTTATTTCGCCAATAAACCGATGGAAAGTGCGGTCTTATTGCTGTTATAAAATAAACTTTAAAGGAAAGTTTTGATGGACTCGCTGAAGTGCATCTTAAATTTACTCTTCATCAACAATATTTAATATTGTTCTAGTGGATTTACTCTTCAGCAACAATATTTAATACTTGTGTATATATTCTTAACCGTCAATATTTAATACTGTTCAAGTGCGTTCCGGTATCATCAAAATAATACGTTGCAAGCAAACACATCGAGATTTCTATAGGTCAAAGTGAATGACATTGCCTTTTGCTACATGTGCCTTACAATCACGGCTCTGTGTGCGGCAGAAAAACCGACGAAAAACAGATAACAAGTTTGCGTTAGACCCATTCTCGTATCCAGATCCTACCGTGTAGCTGTGACTCACAACCGCTTGGCCGTGGAAAGTCTGGGTGCGAGATTACATTATAGCTTGTCAAAAAGCAGCGATGAAAATCTTCGTTTCCGGCGCTATGTCCAACGAAGTTGTCATTTCAAAGCACACTGAGATCATCGAAAGGATTAAATGTCAGGACAAATAGCTAGAAGCCTAGCAGAGTGTTTTAGGGCAAAATGCAATCCATAGTTCGAAAATAAAATGGAAAATGATTAAAACAATCCTTAGGTAAAAGTTGTTATCTTGATCTAACACCGAATTCTTGTAACTAATTTTGAAGGAAATGTGTAGCAGCTAGAGAGGAGAATTAACAATAAGATCTTGGGGATGGAAGGATTAAAGTTCACCGCGGACAGTAAAACCCATCCCAAAACAATAATATCCAGAAATAATAATTATAAAAGATAAAACGAGCAAAAATAATTCACAGCCCATGGATATCAAAGCTATGAATTATGAGTCAAATTTAATCATGGACGCAAGATACTAGACAATCCCGAGGCAAATGACTTCTGCAATTTCGCTGTAGAAGTTTAATTTCAAAGCATGGAAATATTTGAGAAAGACTGCTAGACTTTTATTCGGGAAACTGAGCTGTATTTATCGAAAATATTGATTACGGATGAAACTGGGATTAGAACAATAAACTGTACGTGATCCTGTCCAAGTACAGCCGCTTTTGCTAATAGCTCAGCTGAAGCCCAGCTGAATGAGTTGTGACAAATCTGACAACAAGAAGTTCTAACTGAGATCGCTTTGTAAACTTCCCTTTGCATTATTTTACGATATTATGGACTCGCATTCGACAAATATCTATATCACAAGCAAGAATATAGGCTTGTTTGATCGGAAACGAGAGACATGACAGTGCAAAGGAAAATAAATGAAAATTGTTAAATACCGAAAATTTTACTCAGAACTCGCCATCTTAGGGTGAGAAAGTCTTAAAGAAAAATCTTACATAGGACATATTTACAGATAAAAATACAAACTTACAGTCTTTTTAGATGCAGAAATCTTGTTCATCCTCACCCGTTGAGTGCAGATGTCACTTTGGTCAAACACAAAAGATGAAATTTCGTTTGGCTGGTGTTCATGTCCTTGATACCACGTGACATGAGTAGTTTTGACATCCTGCACGAAAGACGAATTGCTCTTCAATGAAGCAATTCGCTAAATTGTGACGCCTGACAATGTTTTTTATCATCAGTTCTATGACACTCGCTTGTTCTAAAACTGACAAAGACGGACTGAATAACTGTATGTCTGTTTCAAATATTTTTCCTGGACAATCTGCCACTAAAATTATGCGACTCTTCCTATTCCTGACGTCAATGGTAACAATAACATCAGCACCTGCAAGTCAAAACATTTCCACGATAATTCCGATCTTTGTAGATGCACGGATTAGATTCTGATAAAAAAAAGGATAACTTGAAACTATGGTAACGTCGAAGGCAAGTGACGAACATGCAGATTTCAGTTGTGATCAGTGTTTTGATTTGAGCCGTTTCTGTTGTGACAAGATTCTAACATTTGCATTTCATTACAATATTTTTCCATAACTCAAGGATCTGCAGGGCGATTAGGTTGTAAACGTAAAAGAAAATCAGTTGTAAATTCTTCCCGTAAGAGTTTGCAGGAAACGCACTTTTCCGAAACAATTTCGTGTCGAAATAACGGCCATGGACCGCGACAATGCAACAAAGCCGATGGAGATAATTTCAAAATCTTTTCGGATTTTACGATCACCTGCCCTTTTGACACCACTATCGGGTGTCAGAGCTGTATCTATGATCATTTTACACGCAAGTGGTTTTCCACTGCAATCTGACTCAAACTTCATTCCACTAAAAAAAATTGCAACATCAAAAATATTGCCACAAAATGTTAACGGCGAAACTACATTATAGTACTTTTCGGTTGATAACAAGTTCGCTAACTGTTTGATTCAGGGCTTGAACCAAAGCAAATGAAAAAAAAAAAAAAAAAAAAAAAAACAAAAAAAAAACCAATATCTCTACTTCAATGACGTCAACTTGTGTTGTTTTTGTCTCGGAGAATTTTGCCACAACCATCCAGGACGACTCAGTGAAACGAACTGTAACATACTGCTCGCTCGCTTTTCTTGTCCATGCAACCCACCCGTGCAACCCTGAAGTGAACATATTTTGGAAAACAAATCTCTAGCCCTCTTTCTCCACTTTCACCACTGTTATCTTCCACAAGTGTATACAATCTTTAAACGCTGTTACTTTCTGGGGATTTTTTTCTGGCCTCACTGGATGTTTAATTAGCTTCATTTCGTTATATGACGAGTGTGCCATGACATAATGAAAACTTAAATCAATGTTAGTGTCACAGCAACGGCACACCTACCCGTCCCCTCCCCTAATCCAGCAACAGTCAACTGATAACACGCTAGGGAGGGCTAGGGGCGCAGTTGCTCAGATAGTGACATTTATCCTAAAACTTTTTAAGGTTTTAACGTCCTCTCTTCTACGTCTTTTGTAACTTGTCTTCTTAAAGAACTCACTATTTGCATATTGAGTGTTTCTTCGGTTACCAATATCCAACTGAGGAAAAATATAAAAGGAGTAATTATATTTATCACAGTTTTCAAGCGGGGTTAAAAACATCTTGGACTCTTAAAACCAATGTTCTTCCTGCTAAACCCTTAACACCCTAAGATCAGTATCCATTTTCTCCAAACTGTTCTCTTCATATTTTCTGAGGTGGTGGAAATGAGAATTTGTTTATCTATCGGAAGCTTCTGAAGCTGGTGATCATTTCCTTTATTCTCATGACCATAATAAGTGATTCAGGGGTAATATTGTAAGGAGAAATTAGAGGCTGCTCATTCTTTGGAGTCAAAGGGTTACTGAAAGCTGTAATATCGGTGGTTTCATGTGCTTTCTCCACTCGCACTATTCAAACCCTCTCCGAGATCGCCGCAGGATAAGTGCAACTTAAATGAGAAATTAATGAAAAATTAAGATCGTTTTAACTCAATGGACATGTTATGTTTTGATTGTGAACGAATAAGCTGCTGGTCTTGTGGGTGAATCTTAAATCTCTTAAGCCTGTGTGTCTTAAAACATAATTTACTTCTAATAAGTCTCATGCTGCGCCGCCAATAACACTCCTAAAATTGATAACAAGCTGCAGGATTTCCACTGTACCCGTACATTAACATGAACAGATTACGATTTGAAGATGATGCAAGCAAAAAGTGACAAGAAAAAAAGGCACGATTATCTAAGCAACGTAACATAACCAGAAACTCTTATTTTTATTATTGCCGAGCAAGGTGAAGTTTGTTATTTGTTACTCTAGAACTACATACATATCTTGAAAGAATTTTTTCCTGAAAGGTCCGTCTGTTTTCGCCTTTCCCCATTTCTGAGTGGTAAATGGTTTTGCAAAATTTCCAATATTAATTTGTATTATTTCATACTGCTACGTATAAACCACCATCTCCGTGAAGTGTTTTGTAAGTAACTTCTTTCAGTATCACTAAAACGCATGAAAACACAAGGACTTATCCGCAGGGAGGTATTACCTCTAGTATCAGGATACCACAAATATCCTCTCATTAACCAAGTAATTTAAATGTTAAATGTATATCATCTAGAAAAAAAAACATAACCAGATCTTAGGAGTTGACGGGTCACATAAAAAGTTAAAGTTCTCGAGTCTCGGAGAAGCAAAGGCAAAACCAAAGTATTTATAGGCAACAATTAGCTAAGAGAACTCAACCAAAACACGAGCTGACTGCCTGATGCGCCTGATTTGCATCTGATTTGTTAACCCTTTCACTCCCAAGATCTAATTAGTAATTCTCCTTACTATCTGCCATACAATTCTTATGATGTTAGTTCAGAGAATTTGGTATTGGATCAACTAATAATCCCACGATTGATATTCTTCTCTATTCTCATCACCTGCCTGCTTGATATTGTATTGATATTGTAAGGAGAAATTCTGTCTTGGTCACTTGTGGGAGTGAAAGGGTTAAAAGGATGGCGCTTGAGTTTTCTGGACGAATTACAGAGGTTTGTAAAGCATAACTACTGCAGTCCCAGATGATCACACTTTCCATTCAAAACTCCATTGAAAATTGCAGAAGTTACGCAACGCAACGTCTTACGAACGCAACACCATGTCTGTTAGCAACGAATTAATTTTCCCGAAATCTCATTTCTTTCCATTTATCTATTGTAAAGCTACCAAATATCATCATGTATGCAAAATACCCAAAAGAATTCAGTGAAAACGGTTTAAAATCGTCATTGAAATTAGTTAACTGTTATGTTCCCTTGTTATAACAATTAAATCGTGATTCATCTGGTGCGGCCCAGTCTCTCAGCCACTTTGTATGTCGTTCAGGACATGGTGATTCATTTCATTGATTGTACAGTACGTCTCTGAATATCATATTTGTTAACGCCGCTCGAAATGTCATGCCGGCGCCTGTAAAAGCGCTTTTATTTCTTCCAGGACGCTGGACACAAGAGATGAGTCTGTGCTCTTACCGTCAACAGACACGGAGTGATCCTGAAAAGGAACGAAACCATCTTTATCAGCTATTAATTTCTCGTTACGCTAACTTAACAAGAACCTTGGTTACCTCTTTTCTTCTTTTTCCAGGGATGTCACGCAACGACAAGTGTTGCGTGACATGCTCAAAAAAACGACACCAAAGACGACCAAAAGTGTCCAGAATAAAATTCAATCATAATACTATCCTGATGCAACGTTTGATTCTCGATAAGAGGATAAAAAGAAACATCAGAGAGTCAGCAAGGAGAGTTAGTCAATTGAACATAAGTTTGAAGCAGAAAAATGCTTGAAAATTTAGGACTGGGAAGTCTCAAATCTTTCTGCGGGCAGAGAGACGCGCGTCCTAAAGTTAAACGTCCCTGTCAATGCTGTTTTAGTACAGTTGAGGTAAAGTCAGCACAAGAGGCTGACTAGCACTGCGTTAGAGACATCAGATTATGATATATATCACAAGCACTAACCGGTAACTGCTTCACAAGAGCACACAAATGGTGTCCTTGAATTGAACAGGCGTACAAAGACGCGCTGTTATCTACTTGTTCCACAACTAAAACAAGAGAAAACCAAAGAGTTACATTTAGTAATCAACATTCCGAATGTGAACGAGCAACTTGTTCGAAGACTTATTTGAGGTTCAAAGCCAGATCGCACTCGCTGATGCATGTGAGCGTCACAACTGGCCGCGCTGAAAAATTCGATGGCTTGGCGCTTGCAAAATGAGTCGCTTGCGAATGAGTCGTCCTAACGGGATACGATTTTTAACCTTGAAACGGAATAATTTTGGCCTATGGCTGTCAAGAAAGGATACTGAGATTTGTATTTGTCTCTTTAACTCCACATGAATGATAGACACAGAGAAGTAACAAAGACATGATTCAAACTTAAATTTTAGGGAGAGTTTTACCAATTCTTTTCTTCGGCATTGCTTAATGTAAGGCTGAATTACGCCACAACAAAACGTGTTCGATTTGCAAAGCAAGTACAACTTTAGGAAGTCAAGTCTGTTAAAGGGTTTCCTGCAGGCCGCTCAGGGGATTAATTACATACAGAGATTGTACGGGAATTCTTAAAAAAATGGATCTGTTCAGGCGGCTATAAATTGGGCCGTCCGTTTCTGAGCGTTCTGTTAGAGATCTTCTACTTAAAGTATGGTTTTCGCTACATGGCTGACAAAAATCCGAAATACACCACGTTATTCGCTCGCTTTATCTCCAAAGTTTCGACTTGTTTTTCAAAACCATTTTGTCGACTTATTTTCAACCATTCCAATACAACCACCGATTTTGAAACAATACCACGCTGTAACTAAGCTCTTTGTTCAAGAAAGGTGGAACACTCGGTATATTGGCAATATACCGAGTGTCTGCACCGACAAAACAACACCTATGCTGGCAGTTTTCCATTATATTTCAAGAAACACCTGAAGATGTTTCCTCCACGCAGATTGCGCAAAGCAGATATAAACAATCTCCGTAAAGTAATTTGAAAGACTACTAATTCACATCTGTTTGTAACCTTCCGACCCTTGACAATAAACAAAAATAACAATAGTTCCAAATGGTTTAAGGCAGTCAAAACAAGGAAAATAAAGGCTTTAATAAACGCTACTGGCAACTGTTTACAACTATTTGCAGACTTGACATTTCCGCGGAAATTCTGTGAAGAAAAACGTGTCCAAAGTAACTCAGAAAATCACGAACGTGACCACTTCAGATTCTGGATGTTATTAATATTGACGTGATCTCAGTCATGTAGAGAGACAGAATCTTACATCGAATATTGAGAATGATTTTAGTAAATGTTTCAGAGAGATCACGTCCTAGAGGTTACTGGTTATTTCACGTAAGAAAAACCCTCTGAAAAAAAATTTGCGCAATATTATCTTCTCACAGTAAACTACAACTGTGGGTCTTAGTTTTTATGGAGTAAAAACATCAGTACTAACACTTCTTCTTGCAATGAGAAGCTTAACAATTAAGGGAGATTCCAACTGTAATAAGATCTTTATCGCGTAAAAGCTCTTAGACAGGATGTCTCGTTGAAAAACATGGAGGATGACGTTAAGAAATCAAAAGTCTGTTTCTTGAAATACTGCACAACACTTCGGAAAACAATGAAGATTCTTTTTCCGGCCTCAAACCTGGGCAAACAATTCGCGATAACATCTCACCGGCTACTGCATTCAGTTGCAACTTAAGTCGATACTTGTTTACGGGAAAAGTGCACGGAAGTTGGCAGAGTTCCGTATCAGTGAAGCGTGTCATTGCGCGTCGAGCGTGATCCACGGCGCGCGTGGAACACGCGTGCAGCGCCCGCGCAAGGGTCGTGCGTGTCAAGCGAATTACGCGCGAGGCTAATGAGAAGGAAGTGTTACCTGCAAAATGTAACAGAACGCAAATCTTGGTGATGATTGAACTGAACGCTGTTGTCTCTGGTGTAGTAACCTACAAAAAAAAAAAAAAAGAAAAAAAAACGTTCTAATGAATTCCATCGTCTGTATACCTCCTAATTCTCGACGTAATCTCCACAAATCTTCTGTAGCCGGAACTGACTAGAACAATTGGCGGAACCCTTTTGTAGGTGACCAAATGATACCTTAAAACGTCGACGCATTTTCGAGCAGAAAGGTCATTGGAAGAAACAAAAATATCATCAAAGGGGTACTGTATGATTTAACAACAACTTCTCAAACAAAAAGTAACACAAAAGTATGGCAGTCAATATGAAGAACTGGACCGGGTTGTTCAAAGCTGGATTAAGATAACCTAGGATTAGTGTGAAATCTGATTTGAGATCTAAACTCCATAAAAGGAAATTGAGTCCAATTCTTTCCGTCTACAATTTGATGTTTGAATGTCCTTTAAAGAATATGGAAAATTATGCGAGAAAGGCTTTTGAACAAAAGGATAGAGAAACCTGGATTGAAGTTTAACCCTGGGTTAGCGTTAATCAGCCTTTGAACAACTGGGTGCTGATGTTTAGAACCAGAGTGAAATTAAGCCATTTCATAAAGAATTAAACGATAAAAATTGCGATAAAACATTTCGTAAAAGCATATTTAAAATATGTTGACGACGTTTGGCTAACGTCATTATCAAGTCAAAGAGTAAAAGATAACGAATGTTTTAATACTACAAAGACAATTGGTAATGGAATGCCAAAAGTGAAAAGAGCCAAGGAAAATTAGACTGTCTTGTCTAGGAGATGCTTTTCATCACGCAGCGCAATCCTAGTCTCAACACGCAGACTGATTCCATTCGCGCCAAACTCTCTGTCTAAAAGAACATTCCATTACCTATTGTCTTTTTAGCAGTTAAACGTTTTTTATCTTTCACTCTTTGACTTGATAATGACGTTAGCCAAACGTCCAAACGTCGTCAAAATATTTCTAATATGCTTTTACGAAATGTTTTATCGCAATTTTTATCGTTAAATGTTTTAAAAAACCGCTTCTTTTTCGTATTCATTAAGTATTGCCATAAATTGAATTAAACATTGAAAAACCTTGTAGATCGGATATCTAGTTATTTTTGAAAGCCACAAACAAACAACTTTTCTTTCTTTTCGAGACAAATCAAATTAACAAGAGATTACAAGTCTGGTTCATGAGCCAACACAGTTTGCGGAAAGGTTCATCCCTTCTAAGCGCAAAAACCACAACAACTTCACCGGGTCAGGATATCTATTGGGGCGCGGAAAACAAAGAACGAAGGAAACAATACTCAGAGACGAGATGGACGAAAATACATAAAAAAACAAATTCTTCACCCCTATCCAGTCCGCACTGTCCGACTTAGCTCCTAACTTTCAAAATATGTTTACCGACGTATAATTAATATAATGTAATATAATTAATGTAATATAATATAATTAATATACTATAATATAATTAATATACTATAATATAATTAATATAATTTTAATATGATATTAATATAAATCTTAATTGTAATTCCTTTTTTTCCTTTTAATTTTATGTATATATTTTAGTCTTAATCTTCCAGGTCCTTTTCGAAAACCTCTTCTTGTGAAAAAGTTTCCTCAATAAAGATCATCACTATTATTATTATTATTATTGACGTCAATTAAAAAAAAGGATTTTCACTCAAACGATTTCGAGGCGCGGACACAGGCTCTGAAAATAATAAGCTTACTTAGGTTATAAGCTTCATGTAGATGTTTTGTCACCGCCAAGTTTTTATTTCCGTTGTTATAACTCCTATGAATGTAGCAAAAGAAATGTGTTCACGTACTGTCATTTCTTGAGCTATCTTCAACTGCTAATCGCGCTTTTAAATCTCATTCAAACTTTTGGCGCGTTACGTCAACGCTGGGCGATCCAAACAGAAGGGAAAACACAAGAACCACAAAGAACGAATATTTCATCCTCAAGATGTTGACCCAAAACAATAACCTCGAATGGTTCCAAGTCTTCTCTTCTTTCATGTTTTTGTAGTATCCAGTCTCCCAGCCCCTTCCATCTCTTTATGCCCCGTATGGTCAGGGATAGACTTTTACGGCAAGAGATTGTATAAAAAATAACAAACCTTAACAGAACCCTTGTGAACAACAGTTCCACTTCCCAGAAGATTCGTAAAATCCGTGCTGAGGATAAACAGAAGAACGACATCACAAAGAGTGATTTAAGAAAAAACATCAGACTGGCAAAGAGGATTGAATTGATTAAAACTGGCAAAAACAAATAACAATAAAAACCGCACGCATACCTAGACAACGGCGTAGAAATCAGAAATGAAGAGCAAGGTAAAAACAACGAAAAATCCATCTTTTCACTCGTGGAGCCTTCGTCGTCCTGCAAAATGGATATCATAGGCGGATGAAGAAAAAGGTGAAAAATTAAGATTTGTTAGTAACAAAGATTTTTTTATCTTTGTCCCACACTCGTTAAACCAGTAAGTCCATGTAAAATGATCCAAGTGGTCTTCCCTCGACTTGCCCACTCCTCCCTTTCCACAACTAAGTCCCCCCACCCACCCTGACACGATATGTTACCATAAAGTACCTTGATCATGTAAGTGAGTGTGCCTCGCAGTTTCTGTACCATGACTATGCTCTCTACGGTGAAGGCAAACTGTCCTTCATTTGACGATTCTATGAGATAAACAATATTGAGTGTAAACAAGAAGCAAAACTGGCTGATACATCACAATGACACAGAAACACCATTATTCAGAGAGTTTCTGTCCAAGGAACACACTCGAAGAATTTTTTGAAATGACTTACCTCCGACTCATGCTTTACAAACTTTTCTCGTGTTTTCACAACACCACGCGTAAGTTAATACGCTGGTAACAGAAAGATAGTGTGGTCTGTTGCTTAAATAAAAGACATTCAACAGGTGTAAGTGAACATTTACCTGGCAAAAGGTGAAAAGGGACTGGAACACTGTCACGTGACGAAGATCCGATCTGTAACAGAACGCCAGTACGGTCAGTACACACTGGCATATATAACCATGAAATCTTAACTAAGAGTTTCATTTTACTCCAGAGCTCTGAAACGACTGTTTAGTAATTTATTCGTTCTCGTAAGAACGCAAACGCTTCTCTAAGGAAAGTGCAACAAGTTTTACTCCCGCCAATACTTTTTTTCATCGTAAATTTTACCTCTGATCGTTAAGTTGTAATTAGATTGTATTGTGTGTCAACCAGGTGGAACAGAGGTGACGGCTCTTCCACTAGGCACACTCCCAAAATAACAACAGTGTCTCATTTTATGAAGGTGTTTAAGTGCTGTGATGCACAAAACTCGAATTGTGGCACAGATAATTTCAACACATATCTTAAAGGGCCAAATTGACTTTCAAGAGCTTAATATTTAGCAACGCTAAAAAGGGATGGTTACACAAGAGAGGGACCTCTGAAAAGTAACTCACCGGACGTATCAGCTTAGTATTAAGTGAATCTAATACATTAAATTCCATGGACTTGATGTGACGATCCGACAAATTACTGTGAACATGAATTCGGAAAAAAACAGAAAGTAAAGTGTGGTTCTTTCGATTTTTTTACGTGTAATCAAAAGAGAAACTGCCATTCCATTAAGTGTGTTATGTCAGCGAAACCGAGATTAGCTTAAGCTGGATGGGCCATTTAGCTCCACTACAAAGTAAAGGTCTGTACTTAAGCCAATCGTTTAACCCTTTCAACCCAAACAGAGACACACATCTAATTTCTCCTTACAATATCACCCCTGAATCACACATTAAGGTCATGAGAATAAAGAAAATGATCATCAACGAAGGAGGCTTTTGATTGGTAAACAAATTCTCCTTGTCAACACCTTAGGAAATGTCTAAAGAGCAGTATGGAGAATATGCATACTGATGTTAGGGTGTAAAGGGTTAATCCAGCCGAAGCTTATCCCAGTTTCCCCAGTGACTAGGAATATAACACCACCACCCTTGATGGGATGCAAGTTCCCTCCACCTTTTTGGCACTTAATTGCGTCTTTTTCCCAACCAATGAGGAAGCTTCACTTAAATAAAACAACCAATCAGATTTTAAAGGTTGTTTAGAGAAGCCAATCTAATTGCAGGAAAATGAAAAACAACTTGTGTAACTTTCTACAAACCAGCTCACTACTAGATCAATAAAATATTTGTACAGACTAACAGAAAGAAACCTGCATCTGAGCGATTGAATTTTGGATGGATGCAATACAATGGTGATTGAACTTTGTGTCGTGCAATTTTGGTCTGAAATCAGACTTGTGATTTCAAATCAAACTCGTGCGATTTTGACATCACCCATACGATTCCTGACCAAATTAAATTCCACTCAGTTCAGTTACCATTACATATCACGCTGACGGCCTCTTGCTGATAAATTCGTTTATACCCATCACCTGCCCGGTAGACAATGAACAGCGCTTTTGAGGAGAAGATAAATGTGGATTACATCCCAAGACAACACTCACCTGAATATTACGGACACTACTACTTGGTTTCGATTTTGCGTGGTTACTCTTGTCTCGTACATCTGTAAGAACAAAGAATCCATAAATTCAAAATCATATTACCCACCCTCTTCATATGTACTCAAATAATCCCTTTGACTTCAAAGAGTGATACACATCTCACTTCTCCTTACAATATCACACCTGTGTCACACATGAAGGTTATGAGAATAAAGGAAATGATCAACAACTAGAGACGCTCTTGATTATTAGACATATTCTCCTTGTCAGCAGCTTAAGAAATGTATAGAGAACTGTATGGAGAATATGCTTACTTGTGTTAGAGTGTAAAGGGTTGTAATGCTACTTTCCGAGAAAATCTTTCTTGTATGAAAAATTTTATGTAAATGCCAAAAAAACAAAACAAAAAAAACCCGACGATATCAGAAACTGAATATATTTCCTTACCAGTCTAAGAGAGCCGTTTTCGGCAAGAACTTTGTAAGTTGTGATGACGGGCTGAAACACAAACATGAATAAGAAAACTTACTAAAAACATTGAACTCAAAAAACGTCTCGAGGAAAAATTACACGCACACAGGGGAATGTCCATGTGTGAGTCGCATACAGGGCTGGAGGGGGGGGAGGGGTGGGAGGGGGGCGTCTCATACACTGATTTGGTGGGGGTAGGGCTGGGGGGGGGGGTGGAGGATGACCTTGTATCTTACCTGCTTCTTCTCTTCCTCCAACTCCGTGATTGTTGGTTCATACTGGTTCTCTGGTTCAGCTGCAGCGGTCTCAGGTGAATCAGGCTTCTCACCAGTTTTCCCCTTTCTCTTTTCTTTCTTTCTCTCCTTTTCATGCTTCTCTTTCTTCTCCGATTTATCCTTGCGGTGTTTTCGTTTCGATTCTTTAGTCTCGGATTTCTAAGGGAAGAGAGAGAGAAAGAGAAGAAAAAACATTTCGTATTAGCTTTGAATACACTAACCAAGTCCTTGAAGATAGAATGCTACATGAAAAAAAATCACAACGCTAGCTTTGTTGCTCAAGTAACAAAAACTCAAGAAATAAATCACGGATGGAGAGGATTGACATGGATTTAAAATGAAGAATACAAACTCTGTACCTCAGATTGTCTCGCATATTTCTCTTCTTTTCTTGTTTTTTCTGCTGCACTATCTGGTGAGGGCGTCGGGGCTACTTCCGCAGGCTGGTGACAGAATGAGTCAATCAAGCAATCAAACCATTAAATCTTTCAATCAATCAGTGAATAAGGCAATAATTCAGCTAATAAGTCAGTGTGTCAGTGCGGCTGGTCAGTGAGTCAGTCTGTCCGTCAGTCTATCAGTCAGCTAGTCATTGAGTCAATCAGTCAGTCCGTAAGTCAGTGAGTCAGTCTGTGTGTCAGTCAGTCCGTCAGTCAGTCGGTGAGTCAGTCTGTGTGTCTGTCAGTCCGTCAGTCAGTCGGTGAGTCAGTCTGTGTGTCAGTCAGTCCGTCAGTCAGTCGGTGAGTCAGTCTGTGTGTCAGTCAGTCCGTCTGTCAGTCGGTGAGTCAGTCTGTGTGTCTGTCAGTCCGTCAGTCAGTCGGTGAGTCAGTCTGTGTGTCAGTCAGTCCGTCAGTCAGTCGGTGAGTCAGTCTGTGTGTCCGTCAGTCCGTCTGTCAGTCGGTGAGTCAGTCAATCAGTCAGCCAGCTTAACAGTGAGTCGGTCAGTGAGTGACTCAGTGAGTTGATCAATCTGACAGAATGATAGTCCATGGATCTGTGTCAGTCAGTCAGTCAGTCAGTGAGTCCTTTCGTCAAACTGTGCGTCTGTCTGTCTATCCGTAAATCAGTCAGTCCACCAGCAAAGCTCAGTAAGTTATTCAGTTGATCAATCGGCCAGCCAACCAACCCGTTCGTCTGTCTGTCGGGCCGTTTGCACATCGATCAGTCCATCGGTTAAGCTATCTGTCAATCCTGATTCAGTCGATCAAGTTTTTCCACAAACCAGTGGGTAACAAAAAATAATTTTAACAAATAATCGTTCTTCACTAAGGTTGGCAAAAATATTACTTAAATTCCACAGCTTACCTGAGGGGAAGATTTCTTTTGAGGAGTTGAGGAAAGCCAGAAATCCATATCATCCTACCATGAGGTAAATGATACCAAGGTTAAAAGATGCCACAGATAAAAAAAAATTTTTACTACAGAAGATGAAAAGAGCGTTTCAACATTAACCCTTTAGCCCCTAAGAGTGACTAACATCTAATTTCTCCTTACAGTATCAGCCCTGAATCAAACATTAAAGTCATGGGAATGATGGAAATGATCAACAGGTACAAGAGCTCTTGATTGTGAAGCAAAATCTCCTCGTCAGCACCTTAGGAAATGTATAGAAAACATTATGGAGAATATGCATACTGATCTTAGGGTGTAAAGTATGAGGCATTAAGCAATGCGAGCCCGCGAGAGAGGTCTGCCACGGTTCTGGCGCTGATAATCAACTCGTCTAAAATCTTCCCGCGGGCGGAGATACGCGCGTCCTGCAGCCCTAGCACTGAGGGCTTGCTCGTGGATTAAAGTTAACAGCAAGCATGTGCAGGTGGACAAGATCACTAAGTCGGTTTAGGGTACACACCTGAGGATCACCAGGTTCATCCGCAGAAGGTTTAAAGTCCTCCACTTCTGCTATCTCCTTCGAGGGAGTTGTTGTTTCACTTTCTTGATGAGAATCATCTCGTGATGGTGATTCAACGTGATCCACTTCTCCATTAAACATCAGATTATCCTCAACAGGTTCTGTACCTCAGTGGAAAGAGAAATCGTAGAATTAATTCTCCAAAAACGATATCACTCATTTGTTAGTTAAGTACTATTACATCAGGCCAGACATTGACATAACGATACGCCACAGAGGTGAAATCTGCTTATGAGCCAGACGCTACAAATCCATTACAAGACTTGTCAAGGTTCCTATCTCCCGTTCCAACACCCCATCCCTGCACTTTTTTAGGCTTCCATAACAACCTACTAGTACCTATTCATACTCGTGGGTATAAATATACAATGTGAGAGTGAAATATCTTGCGTAGGAGCATAAAACATTGACCCGTCCTGGCTCGAACCCAGACCTCTCTATTCAGAGTCCATCGCACTCAGAACCAAGTCACTGCGTCTCCCGCGTACAGTCGCAATCCTTGGTACTTCATGAATATAATTGAGCAGCTTTATAAGCAGACAACAAATTAAGATTTGAAGAAGTAATTGAAGGGTTCTGTCTAAGTGAAGTTGTTCAATTTGAACAAAAGTACCTTCATCCTTACGATGGTGTCGATGCTTGTGTTTTGACTTTTTATCTTTGTCCTCTTTATCCCGCTTATGCTTGTGTTTACCCTGACGCAATAGATGGGGGAAGATTAATAATACATTAATAAATCATTTCTTTTAATTTTCAAAAGTACAATATGAGCTCATTCTATGAAACATGTATGACTACAAGTAGATAGCTTACAAGAAGGCTTTCATTATCAGCACTAATAAGAGTGCTATACCCCGAAGAAACCTCTCCTCGACTCGTTTCAAATCTTCCCGCGGGCGGAGAAACGCGTGTCTTGAAGCGCGTTTACTTGAAAAAACAAAACGAAACAAAACAAAACAACAAACAAACAAAGGAACAAAATAAACAACAACAACCACAACAAAAAAATAACAAAGACATTTTCACAGAATTAATAATCATCATGGATTCATCCTTTTGCAAATAGATATTAACAACCATATGCCGCTGACAAACCTTTTTTCCTTCACTATCCCTTCTGTGTCTGTGTTTCTTATCCTTACCATGCTTCTTGGGGGTTTCCTAAAGTTGAAAATATGTCATTAGCCCAAGGTTACTCTGTCGAATCCCAGTATCCTGACTGTTTGCTTTGATTTCTCTTACGTGAAAGTAGAGTAAGTCAAAATCATGTAAAAGGTGTAATTGCCTAGCTTGCCTAGATAGGTTATGGTGGACCATTACAACTAAGTTTCACTTCTGACCTCATTCTCTTCACCATCAACCGCATGTGATTCTAATACAACTCGGTGTTGACGAACGGGCAGTGCTTCGTGAGCTTCAAGAGGCCTAAAGATAAATTGGAAATAAAAGCATTTTTAAATTTTTATTTTGTTTTTGTAATCTTCTAAAAAAAAATTCGCGACACTTAATTGTGCGATTATAATAAATATATATATAAATTAAAACGAAAATAAAGTGAGGCCAACAGTAGGTGTTGGGGACATAACACGTTTGTGTTCGAATCATGCGTAAGTGACTAAACTGGAAGAGTATTTATTACTGCTTGTTAATCTCGATCAATGCGTCCAAGCAAATATGCATTTCTTAAACCCTTTACACCCCAACATCAGTATGCATATTCTCCCTACTGTTCTCTATACATTTTCCAAGGTGCTGACGAGGAGAATTCGTTCATCAATCAAAAGCTTCTTTAGTTGGTGATCATTTCCTTTATTCTTGTGGCCTAAATGTTTGATTCAGGGGTGATATTGTAAGGAGAAATGAGACGCGAATCACTCCAACGGGACAAAGGGTTACAACAGTAGAATCATAAGTGACAGGGACCGACATACTTGCTGAGGTCGACATCCAACAGTTTGTGGGGGTCACTTGCAGGAGCCTCGTCATTCCCTTTATCTTCGTGATCTGAATCATCAGCTCCCTAACCGAAAAAAAAAACACACTGTAACGTTAACTAGCAGCTTAGCTTAAATAGAAAATGGGTTCCTGGTGCATTGGGTAGAATATACCCCCACAGCCTAGAATCCCCCTCACCGGGTCAAAAGCCCGCATTTTAGAAACCGACATTGAATAGGTCAGTGAAAGGAACGATACGTAGGGTAGGGTGGGGCAAAAGGAGAAGAGAGGGGAAACCATGGCAGCAAAGCCAAAAAACTCAAAAGAACTCGAAGATCAATCCATTACAAAAGTGAGACTTTGTTAAAGTGTAATTTAACTAATTCAAAATAGTGAATTGGCACACATTTGAAAACAAAAATCTTACTTCAGGTAATTCACCAGCCCCGGCTGGGAGTACTTCATACGAGATGCCAAGGTCTGGTTCTTCTTCATCTGCCCTACTTCCTTTGCGACCTGATAACAGAATAACAGAGAGAAATAAATACCCTTTATTTGATAGTTTCACATGTAGTACGCGAGAATATTTTGCGAGCTGCATTGAATTTTTCCGCTGGAGCCCACAAGAAGAAAATCAACAACAAAAATACAAACCTTTCTTTCTTCTCTTCTTTGACTTCTTAGCAGAAGCGTATTTCTTGTCAAGTGCCATACCTAACCGACAACACATTTCAAGTAAGTGAAGGCAAAGAAGGAGGAAATTCACTTTGAGGTTAAATCAAGGGAATGCAAAAAAAAAAAAGACTTTTTCAGTGGTAGATAGAGACCAGTTCCTTTATAAACCATTTTGTGAGAGTTAATTCACCTCCAATTTCATGTCAAGCGATTGACACTTCAGAATTTGAAGAGATATTTTGGGTTTGATTTAACCCTTTAACTCTTAAGAGTGATTCACATCTAATTTCTCCTTACAATATCACCCACAGTCACACTGTAAGGTCATGAGAATAAAGGAAATGATCATCAAATGAAGAAGCTATTGATTGCTAAACAAATTCTCCTTGTCAGCAATTAAGGAAACTTGTAGAGAACAGTATGGAGAATATGCAAACTGATGTTAGGGTGTAAAGGGTTAACCTGCAGTTCAGCCGTCTTATTGGGACGCGTTACCGTTACAGGCTCGCAATCGTTCACCCGGCCGGCCATATTTGATTGAGAGTTAGAGAGAACAGTGAGGAAGGAGGCGGGGAAAGACCCACCCACCAACCCCCTCCCCTCTCTTTCCTTTTGACCATCCCTTACCCCCTTGGTACAAATTTCTTTCTCCCCCCAGGCTTCCACTGCAGTAAGAATCAAAGATGGCCGCCATAATTTTCACCGAGAAAATACTGGGCACTCGCTCGTCAAATTCACACCTGCTCTGGAGGCTAGGTGTAATTTGTATTATGGATCCTGTTTGAAGAGCTGTTCATAATCTCAGTAAAAATCCCGAAAACCTTTTAAAGGAGTTACATCTTACGATTTCTTGGGCTTTTTACTATTCAAGATTTTATTTTCATGTTTACTCTATTCATTTCATGTTTGTAAGCAAAGAATCCTACCTCCTGACACCTTGAGTGACACAGGTAAGTCAAGGTTAGCGACCGGGATATCTTCTACTGCCATTTCTTTCTTTTTAGCCTAAGCAAAAAGAATTATGGGTAAGCAGGGGTTTTTAATATTATTAACTTTCACTATGAACAGCTGACGATGACGTGATAAGCGGCTGTGCCCCCAAAAAGGGGCCGTAAGGCGAAACTCAAACAATTTGCTGAAAAATAAAATTATAAGCCAAAGAAACAGAAAGGCTTGCTTTCCTATTCTTTGAAATTTGACTTCCAAATATGGTTTCGGGCCCGATAAGTTACCACGACTTTCGACAAACGGGACCCTGGTCTGGAATCGAACCTGGGCTACACCAGTGCGAGGCGAGCGCTCTCACCACTGCTCTATCCCCATTCCCACTCCTTGATGATAGGGACCTTGAGCAGTCAGGACGGCAACGCCAAGGAAGACTTCGATTAAAAAATGAATTTCTGCCTTAATTAAAATTTCAAAAAGGGCTGCATTTGTTTACCGTCTCATACGGCGCTTCACCTCAACTTCAGCATAACGTATAAAAGAAGCGTCGAGTTCCAAATGGAAATTAAAATAATTTGCCGTCGCGGTTTCGGTTCGCAGACGACGCAAACTGTGGTGATTTCACGTTATTAGGGACCTTAAGCAAACCACGACGGCGACGGCAACGAGGACATGGAAAAACAAAAGATCTTATTAGCAGAACAATAGCTTAGCACGTGCGTTTTAAAACTTTGTACATTTCCTAGCCGTTCTATGCAAAACAACAACGTGAAATCACCACAACTTGCGTCGTCTGCGAACCGAAACCGAGACGGCAAATTATTTTAATTTCCATTTGGAACTCAACGCTTCTCTTATCACGTTATGCTGAAGTAGAGGTGTGGTGCCGTATGAGACGGTAAACACATGCGGCCATTTTTTAAATTTAATTAAAGGCAGAAATTATTTTTTTTAATCGAAGTCTTCCTGGGCGTTGCCATCGTGACTGCTTAAGGTCCCTATTGTTTTGCATGGGACGGCTAAGAAATGGACAAAGTTTTAAAATGCACGTGCTGAGCTATTGTTCTTTCAATTAGATCTTTCGTTTTTCCATGTCCTCGTTGCCATCGCCGTCGTGGTTTGCTTAAGGTCCCTAAGAAGGAGTCTGAGAAACGACACCGTTTAAAAAATGAACGTATATTTTACCTACGAATCTCGCGATACACTTAGTTCATTAATTTTATTTATCGCTATCAAAACGATTCGAAACTGAATATGGAACACAGCGTTAAATTAAAAATGGAAAATTAAAAAAAAAATTAGCCGTCGTCGTTCACGTTCTCCAGACAACGCAAAGTTTAGTCATTTCACGTTGTTGTTTTGCAGAAGACGCCAGGAAATTTACAAAGATTTATAACGCACGTGCACAACCATTGTTCCGCTCATTAAACTCTTTGTTCATTGCCGTTGCCGTCGAGGTTTCCTCAACCTCCCTAGGGTACATTAGCCACCGTTAAGGGTTTCTAAAGCAACTCATTTGATAAAACCAAATTACTTTACAATGAATAGAAGTGAATGGTGCACGTTCTAGCACAACGAGACCCAAGCAGACCACGATAATGATGACACGCACCATGATGAAGTCATCGAATATCAAACCACTTTGAAGAGTCAGACAAACTGATCTGTTGGCTTTTAAACTAGTACAAGAACACATAACATTGATATCCATTTAATTTTACCTTCCTCTCCTCCCGTGATGACATCTTCAGATAATGAGGATTACTCATTTGTTCCTGTTTCCTCTGTTCACGTCTCTGAAAAATACAACAGAACTGGCATCAGGATGGCACCAACGTCATATATGTAGCATGAAAAGGAAAAAAATTCAAAACAAAGTATACTGCAAAGTAAGAAAAAGAAAAAAAAATACCTTTTGCATTTCCTCCTCATCATCCGATACATATTTTTGCCGCAGTTCTCTAAAAATGTCCAAAACATTTGTTTAAGGTTAACAGAAACAGGGGTTTGAGAGGTCGCCTGGATTACCAAAAATGAATTCCAGCTATGTTGCGTACTATAGGCGATGACGAGAACTCGAGCGCAATTTAGTATTCATAAGTACGACTGAATTTTTCAAAGACAACAAAATTACACGAGCCCGTAAGGCTCGTGCCGTTTGTAGTCTTTGAAAAATTTACAAGTGCCTATTTAAACCAAATTGTACGAGAAAGTCAAGACAGACGAAATTTTGACAGCGCGCGCACGCTACTGGTAATTTACACTCGCGTTACAAATTTGTATTTGTGTTACATGAAAAATGCAGTCTTTTTTTCTTATTCTGGAGACCAATTTTATTTCTGAGGACCCTTTTTGTATTATTTTAACTCCGGCACCAAACGGTGACTTTAGACCAAGATGAGCTTAGATCCCGAAAAGACTTTCATCTTATAAAGTTGTCTGATGATGGAGAATTTGCTTAGTTGTCTTAAGTCATACTTGTGTTCATTTGGTGTGTCAAATATTGTATCGATCTCCTCTTCCTCTTCTGAGCTTTCTGATGGAGGGTCGTTAATCCATTTATCAAGGTCAAGCCTAAAAAAAAGCACCAGATATAAGGAATTAATTTCTTGACTCAATCACTGCAAAATTCACATCACTTTTTGACCATCAATTTCATCTAGTTAGACAAGTGAGTTGCTTTGAATGAAGACATTGGAGAAACAATAGTTGGATTAATTAGGACAATATCGTTAAAAGGAGATAACTAACAGGAACTGATAACAATAAAAGAAAGTGTCAACCTACCCTTCGGGAATCTGCACCTTCTTCTGTGCTTTGGCAGCGACTGGATTCAGCTCACCACGAAACAATGATGATACCTCGTCGGTGCAAGCAACACCTGATAAATAAACACACACAACAAGGTCAGTGTTCCACCTTGATGTCCTCCTTACTCCATAAAGCAAATGAAGGGCAGTATCATCGTTTACTACTCTCAGGCATACAATAACTTTGTGATAAAAAAATAAAAAAATAAATCAAATAATAGTAAGAATGAAAAAAAAAAAAAAAAAAGGTTAAATAACAGGCTCACCTTTTCCTTGCAGCTTAAGGACATACTTAATGAGCTGCAAAATACAGCTGGCCTAAAACGAAAAAGAAAAAAAAAAAAGACCAAACCCTATTAAATAAACAACATTACAATGACTGCTAAAACTATTTTCGGGTAAACTTCTCCATTGGCTGCCCCTCTCTGATGTGTCTCCCTCTGAAATAAGCTCTCCATCTGAAGTTTCAAGTTTCCTATAAACCCTTTTCTAGAGATCAAATAGCCATCTTCTCTAGCACACCCCTGTCTAAAGCTTCAAGATTCTCTGGTGGCCCCCCTGCCACACACACATCTGGAGCCTCGACATTCCTCACTCTCCTTACCCTGCCCTGAACAAAAACTCTGAAATTAAAAACTGAGGATCACAATGCTGTCTCTCAATTTTTTAAATTGGTTATGAGAATTTGGTGTTAGATTAAGGTAATAACTTCTAATAATTTTGAGTCTTCTCATTACCTGTTTGCTGGAAAATGTATGGATATGGTAGGGAAAAATTACATGCTCATTACTTCAAGGAGTTTAAGGGTTAAACTGACACTACTTACCCTCTCTTGAACCTCTAGGTCTGCACTCTGTACAAAAACAGGTAACCTCTCTACAAGCATCTCACCAACTGATGTCTTCTCATCTTCTTCTTCCTTAAAAACAAAAAAAATCATTTCATGTAAAAGAGTAATCAGCTTTATCAATCACAGAATAGAGAAACACACCACACCTTTACAGGACTTCAAAACAAAAACTCATCATTCAAATTGGGGAGTTGGCTCCCAAGGGAAGGGCTTCAAATACTTCAAACTTGTTTGCTTCAATTTAGCATAATTCCCTTCTCCACAATCCATAATAGCAACACACACACAAAACCTACAATTCCCCACTTTGCCATAAAAAAGGCTAACACTTGAAAATCAGTTCCAAACTTTGCTACAATGATTGATCTATCTTTATCAATTTGCAGCTAAGTCTTTCAAATAGGCACTGACACAGCACAACAATTTCTTTAGATATTAATTACCTGTTCTACAAAAAGGAAAAAAAAGTCAATCTAGTGTTAAGTTTTTAGCCTTTCCTGTGTAATTCTCAGTACTAACTGCCATAATTTTCTTATAACTTTAGTTTAAAGAATTTGGTGTTCAATCAAAAACATTCTCTAATTGACATCTTCCATTCTCCTTGTCTCCAGACAGCTTGAAAACATAAAAACAGAAAAAGGAAAATCTTATTTGGTCAATCATTAAAGTGAAAAAGGATTTCACTAAAATCAAATCACATACCTCCTCTGCTTCACTGGCAAGAAGTTTAGCATACAACTTGGCAATGTTCTGGACATAGACTGCTTGGATGTGTCCAGGGAGGGAGGTCACTTTGGTTTGTAGCATTGCTTCAAGTGTACTATGAATGTCTGGTAAGTGTCTGATATCACAAAGAAACAAAACAACACATCAATACTTCATATACTCTAGCATGTAACTGTTATGGACTCATATCAAGGGCCATACAGGGCAAGTTATAGACTCAGTTTTTCCTTTCCAACAGCAAAGTATCAAAGCTATAAATAAACTGTAAATTAGAGTAACAACAGGGAAACAAAAATTGGTAAAATATTCTTTATATCCCGACATGATGTCTGCATGGTTGGAAAATAATTTTTCTAATCACATAAAATGGCGTCAACAAATCTACTGTTACATGTACGGTAGGCGTTAAATACAGTTGTTACTGACTAAGAAAACCAGAAAGAGTTTGGTGAACTTATTTAGTAACAATCATAAATTATGTATTATTTATTTATTTATTATTATTTGGCAGTAAACAAAATCCTTCAACCCCTTAACCCCTATGAGTGACTAGCATCTTATTTATCCAAAAATATCACCCCTGAGTCAAACATTAAGGTCATGAGAATGAAGGTAATGATTGTCGACTAAAGAAGCTATTGATTGTTAAACAAATTCTCCCTGTCAGCACCTTAGGAGATGTGTAGAGAACAGTATGGAGAATATGCAAACTGATGTTACTTTTTAAAGGGTTCATGACCAAGCTTCTCCAATCAAGATGTCTAAATTTTTAGCCTAATTCTACTCTGGTCTTTTCAAGGAGATCACCACCAAAACTTGGTAAATTAATTAATATCCTCTCATACTGACCTAATGCTGAGTCAGTATAAATTATATTCATAACTTCAGAAACTAAACCTACTCTGAGAACTCTCCAGAGATCCATGCTGCAGCGTAAAGAACTTCACAAACCCTGTTCTTTTCCATTTGTCCTGAGAGTAATTCATTGTTGTCCAATAATAGAGACTGAAAAAATTGGACAATTCAAACATTTTTGAGAAAATACTATTGCACTGAGCTACAAGGAATGTGGTAAAAGACCCTGATTAAAAAAAGGTTGAAATTTTGCCTTATCTGCTTATCAAGATGAAATGATATAATCATAGTGAATCTTTTTGTGTTTATCTGGTATTTGCTGAATGTAAAGGGAACTCAATATGAAATTGACAATGATTTTTCACAGGATTTTCCAAATAAAGGAGATGCATCTAGCAATCTGTAAAAGGTAAACCAAACCCTTTGGATGATATATAGGAATATAACTTATTAATCAGTTGAAAAGAATCAGAGCAAATTTATTTAAATTAAAAGTAACTAAGCAGACTTTATTTAATGGAGGAAACATTCCCTAGACAGTGCTTAAACTTATGAATTCATGACCCCAGAATCAATGAAGGTAAACAGTAACCATTACATGCTGATTTTGCAGATGAAACTCACCAAGCACTGCACACCATAGGGACGAATTGCCTTGACTCTTATGGTGACATCCATCATCTGTGAAGCCAGCTGTTTACCAAGTCTTGTCCCTTCCACCCTTGTTAATTGAATCAGTACATCAATGTACCTACAAACAGTGAGAAGACCCAATCAGTACTATGCTATTTAAAAGTATTTAATAATGAGTTTGAAGATCAAAAATATTGTAATAAATATCTCAATTATCATTGTTAATTACTAAAATATAAAGAGCAAAACACAATATTTACCATTCAAAGTTTGTAACATAATGATAGTCATTCATACTGCAAATCTGTATAATCTTGGATAGAATTTCATCACAGTAAGCTGTAAATCAAAAACAGCCACAGCAACAAAATCAGACAAGGTTGACAATGAAGACAAAAGTCATTGAAGAATCTGGCAAACACAGAGTATCACCCAAAACCTGAATAATGATGAGAAATGTGGTATTTTGTAAAGAGAACTATAAAGACTCACTTTGGCTGTCAGCCTTGTCAATCTGCACCATTAATTTCTTGATAATATCCATAATGTTCTTCTTTGAAACCTGAATAAATAACATTTAATGCTTTAACCCTTTAACTCCCAGATTACATTTGCAATTCTCCTTACAGTCAGCCATAAAATTCTTACAATGTTAGTTCAGAGAATTTAGTATTGGACCAACTAATTATCCCCAAATTTATATTTTCTAAATATTCTCATCACTTATCTGGTTGATATTGTATTGATATTGTAAGGAGAAATTCTGTCTTGGTCACTCATGGGAGTTTAAGGGTTAACTCCCTGCTATGACTTAAGTGTGACTTCTTGTTTTGAATTTGTTTTAATACAACAAGGAGAAATTACATCTTGGTTATGAGTCAAAGCCAAAGATTTCTGCTTTGGCTTTTCCACTCTGTCTGTAAGAGTGTAAAATTTCTAAAAAATCTTCAATTATCATTAACTCCTTACCATTCCCACGATAAGGTCCAGAGCCCTGAGTCTAATAGACTCATCCTTGTCATCTAGACACTGGAGAACAATGTCTCTAAACAAAATAAATAAATGAGAAAAGCATATAATCAGAATGCAGTTGTATTCTCCTCACCAGGCTGATGGAAAAAATTCATCTGATGCATTTTCATTTTGGCATTTTATTCCAGAACCAGCACTCTGGGACAATGAGATCCAACAATTCTTAACACTCACTTGTGTACTTGTACAGCTTTTGCATTGACTGTAAGAATCTTTGACATGGCAAGTAACCCAAGATATTTCACTGTCAACAGAATAGTAACGTTAGTAACTAGAGGCCACTTGGCAAATGTAGCTAAGGTGCTGAAAATATTAAATAAAATGCAAATTAATTGACATCAGGTGCATTTCAATGAAGCACACAATTATTCTGGATCAATGGCAATATCAGAGCATCCATGCACCCACCCCTCCCCTAACCTAAAATCAACCCTCAGATGTGATCTGTTGACTGTTGTTGGCTTAGGGGAGTGGTAGGTATGCAGTTCCTCTTATACTGATATTGATCCATTATTCTAACTAGGCTGCTTGTTTACTTACAGTTCTGGTCAGAATCTTCAATCAAGATCCGCAACTTGCTTACACATAACTGAAGAAAAACAAAATCCAAACTGTTACATACTTTGGCACAAGCAGAATTCACCATCTGCAGAAAACTACTTACAACAACTCAGGAATGGAGAGTACATGGGTAATAAAAAAAAAGTACTCTCCCCACCATCTATGATTGGAGATGTACCTCCAGTTAAATAACTCATTTACATCGATTACAGTTGCAATATTACAGCTTATTCTCTTTTATTATGCCCCTCTAACTCCCAGAATTTATTAAAATTTAGCTTCTCCCTAATGGTAATAAGGCTACCAGGCAATGAAAATGCTCAAATTTATCAAATAAAAATTGTTATAGGTATACTTATCTAACACAGATACTAACGTCTTGTGACTAATTTTTGTAGAAATATGTAGCAGCTTTAGGGGAGAATTAACAATCAGATCTTGGGAGGTAAAGGGTTAAGACTCAATTAAATCCATAGCCACAAGATAAAACACTTATCTACTAAATAAAGATTTGATGAATAGCCAACCTGAATGGAAGCATTGTGTTGTGGTAATCCTGAAAGTAAAAAGTATTGATCAGAAATATTGAGTAAATAAGGTACCTGTATATTTTTAGTTCAGGCTACTAGGAGCTCTCTTTTTTACCAAGTATGTCTGTGTTATTGACTGAATAATGTCATCTTTCACTTAGCAATTACCAGGCTAAAAATGTACCATTTTTATTTACATCATCCTTGCGGAGAAACATTACATGTTGACATTCCTATCTTAGCAGTATGCACGCCAATGAGTTTTTTTTACCATAGACCCAGCTAAATGGCCTAGTCTACTATGAGTTTCCCTTAGGTCAAAGGTTACAGGTAAGTGTCCAAAGTACTAATCAGATGGTCTTAGGTTTTGACTTCTATTGGGAGTGCTTGGAGTTCCATATTCTCTGAGTACTGCTGTATCCTTCACTCAATAAAATCATCTTTCACTTAAAATAGAAATTCTTCAAAGTATTATTTAGAAACAAACAGAATGTAATGTACTAGGTAAATGTAGCATTTTTTTGCATATATATCATGGAAATAACCCACTCATAATCTAAGTTTCACCTGATATGACAGTATTAATACATTCATAGAGTAGTGACATGGCAGAAGTGCTGCAAGGGAAAGTCGAAAATTATTGACTAATAACAGTGATATCTGATATTAGGCTGTCTTCATTGAAAAGGCCATATCTGGATGTCCACTGACACTTACAAGGCTTCTTACTGAAGTTCATGAAAGCTTTTTGTAGGACTAGTACAGCCTTTTTGGTGGTTACAGCTGCGAACTCCACAGTCAGCAAACTCAATTGCATGAAAAAAGTTACAAAGGAAAAAACTAGGAAAAAAAGTTATGCAAGGTGAGGTTTTAAATGTACCTGTGGATAAGGTTTGTTAAAGGTTCCAGTAATTTCTTTCCCAATCTTGGTTCCAGAGGACAAAGAGCACCAAACTACAAAAAAGGAAAAATGTGGAAGATAACCAATGTTTTAATCAAAAACAGGGGCACCTTTTTATCTCCAGGGAATGATAAATTTGTACCTTCTTCGCACAAAAACAATACATCAACTAGATAATGAGAACAAATAGACCTTGGGGATGTTATCATGATAAAACAACAGAATCTCCTAGCTTCTTTACAAAGAATGTTTAGTGGCAAGGGGGGAGAATTAGGAATCTGATCCTTGAAGTTACCTTATTAGCTTGAGGATGTTAACTTGATAAAAGACCAGATTCTCCTAATTTAGTTATTGAGAAATATATAGTAGAAAGGAGGGAGAATTTAGGAATCAGATCCTGGAAGTGAAATGGTCAAGGCATTTAAGCCATCAAAAACTATTGAGGTCTCATGTCATAAAAAAATTCTGACTTTGCCTTGAAATCAATAAAAAAAGGAAAACATTTGCAAAATAATATATTTTTCTGGGTTTTACTCACCAGTTTGATGATCTTGATTAACATCCAGTTGTTAGTGGAACTTGTCATGAGTTTGAAGAACAAAGGAGCCAGTGATAGGTAGTTCTTGGGGTTTTTCCGAGCCAGTTCACAAATCACATTCACAGCAGCTGACTGTACACCTGTAATCGAGACAAGATGAATATTGCAAAATTAATGTTATTGATTGTTAACTTCCATTCAATGCCATAACATCCACTGTGAAATCACTGACCTAGGATTCTTACAATTTGCTGGGCTCTCAGCAACATGATTTATCATGAATAATGTAATTTTATGGTTGTAATGACATATTTTTCTCAGCCAATGAAAATGAAACACTAAAACAAAATAACAAGATTTCATGTGACATCTGTCCAATTCAGTCATGAATCACAGTATTTTTCTGCCAATAAATCAAAACCTAATTATGATAGCATTTTTTTCATTTCATACAGTTATGTTTGAAGACTGAAGCAAAACCAAATAAAAGCAATTTTGGGTTGTGTTGAAGCTTAGTTACATGAAAATTATCCTTGATTGCTGATCAGCAATGGTTATTTATTACCATTTTCTTCCCAAAACTGACACAGATGATAAGATGTTCATTTTGATGCAAGGAAGATCCTTGTCTAAAACAACACCATCGTTGCACAGCTTCTCTCAACTCTTTGATTTGACTCGGTTACCATCTGCTCATGAAATCATTGCAAGACCTTTGACAAGTAATTTATAGTTTCCTGTTTTTAACTTATGCATCACTATAATTTACATTCACTATGGTTATTACATATAGTAACACCTCACCAGGTTCTCCATCTTCAAGCTTTTCCTTTAATCTTGGGAAGGCTGGTCTTAGGGCTTCAGGAAACTAGATTTGACATTTGTGAAAATAATATCACGTTCTCTCGAAGAAGTAAAGAAGACTTAACACTGTAAGACAAACATACACTGTATTGTGCAGGCAGACTGACAGGCAAACAGGCATTATAGATAGAAACAGATCTATAGATGGGAAGAGAGACCAACAAACTGAGAAGTACAGATGCAGAGAAAGACTGACCATCAGATAGAGAGCTTACATCTAACAGATGACAAACAGAGAGACAGATGGACAGACAAATATATAGACATACCAAGGTCAATACCCAGGTTAATAGATACACATACATGCACATAACGCCAGACTCTAACAAACAGAGAGACAAACACAGAGACAGACAGACAAATGAACACACAGACAAATGAACAGACAGACAGACAAAGATAAAACTACAGCCCACAATTTGGACTTAATAAATTTCTAATTATTGTAATAATCATAGTGATAAAAAATCCTGAGAAAGAGAAAGAGGTGCCCCCCACCTCAAATGAACTTTTTTTTTCTTTATGTTAATATTGATAAGTTAAGAGCTTGTAGCTAACACCGACATTTTGTAGAAACTTATCAATAAGCAACTGGAGTAACTCACCCAGAAATAAATTCATACATTCTTACCTTGAGAAATATCTTATACATAAGTAAAACAGCTCTTTTTCTGATGTATGGCTTAGTTGAGACAAGCTGGTGTAAAAAAAAGTTAAAAATATTTAAGTAAACAAAAATAATTTGCCAAAGGACATAAAATCTAATGCTGATTGACTTTGTAAGTAACTCATTCTCAGGAAACACAGCATATGGTTTATTAAGGTGGGAGGGAAGGGGGGAAGGGGAAGGGGAAAGGTACAAACTTTGAAAGACAACATGGCTGACAATTAAGTCACATAATTATTTAAGTTTAATTTCTCTAAACAAACTGTTGTTTACTTTGCATGTATTACCTTATTTTTCCTTAATTTTTAACCTTTAGTATTATTTCTTGTGTTCCAACATCAAAATGCATACACCAAAATTCTACCATAATCATATAAAACTCACCAACGACATAACATCATTAGCTAAATCTCTTGCCAAGTCTGAAGTCACAAAACAAGCAAAACCAGACAAGGATACACCAGAATCATACATGTTCATGCTGCACAAGTCCTGAAAGTTGCAAGAAAAATAATAAGTACTAAATGACTGATTGGAAGGGCTGAATACCTGAATATTTGGCTTGAGGTCATAATGTTTCAGCAAAAGTTCAGCGCAGGGTTTGTGTCATGACTGAGTGCCAAAAATATTTCTTATCCACCTGACCCACCTAAGTCAAGAATCATTTTATCATAGGACTCGAGTTCTTTCTTTTTCATCCTTTCCTCTAAGCTCTCATCTTGAAGAACCCTATGGCGTTGTATGACCCTGCTCACACCATAACATTTGGTCCTCAAACAGGAATTTTTGTTAAGGGTTTTTTTCATAAAAAGCTCGTGAAAAATAACAATAATTAGTTTATACTACACAATTGATAGGTGCTTTTAGAGCATGCTTATTGGTAAATTCTGAAATTAATAGTGAGTAATATTCCCCTCTGTGCCAAAATCATGCATTAAAAGTTCAATTTCCTACCATTTTGTGGCATATTGAAAGAAAAAAATAATTTTTTGGTATTTGTGTAGTATATACTGAAACAAGTATTCACCTCAGTGGTGGTGAAAGAGATTGATATTTACCTTGCCACCTTGCAGCTTGGATGCTATCCATCACTTTTCACTTCCACTTTGGTGAATGATTGTTGATTATTGCATTAAGAGCAACATTAGCCTTAAATTTGAATTATCCTTACTCTGAGATTTTGAAAACTAAGAACACTTTGATTTGACACTGACAGTTCAAATCTCTACCAACCAATCAATAAATATAGAAAAGTGAGTAAACTCCTTAAGGATGAATTAGTAACCATTGCTGTTCAAATAATGCAAAAAACATTAGCAGCACCTTTCTGATCATGTTTGTGGTTAACATCAGGATATCCAAATCTTCATGGAATGATTGCGATGCTGCTAAATAACCAATTCTCTGAAAAAAGAAAAAAAACTTTAAGATACATTATTAACATACATTATCAACACATTAATCACATCTCCACATCAATCATCTAGTCCTTAACCCTTTCACTCCGATGAGTGACCAAGGCAGAATTTCTCCTTAAACTATCAATACAATATCAAACAGACCAGTGATGAGAATAAAGAAAAGTATAAATTAAGAGAATATAAGTTGATCCACTACCAAATTCTCCAAACAAACATCATGAGAACTGTTTGGTAGACAGTAAGGAGAATTACTATTGAGATCTTTGGAGGTAAAGGGTTAAATTCATCTAAGACATTTTGACAACCTCAGTCTCTTACTCTATATGTACCTGTACATTTAGTAGTGACAGCCTACATTTATCAACTGATGTTCACTACAATCAAAACCAAATTGATTTAATTTATATTCCTTAGGGTTTACATATAGATAATAATAATGATACCTTGTATGTAAACTTGGAAGAACTCATGACTTCAATTATGTTAAATGCAGCCCAGCTGATGTCATATCCCAGCATTTGGAGCTATTAGAACAAAAAGTAGGAAAACAGTCAGAAAATAAATATTCAAACAGGCACCTTTAACTTTTAGTTCAAATTAAGGAGAAGACTAGGTTGTGTACTTAAGGACTGTTAAAGAAACTGTGGTGCTGCATCAATGGGAGAGTATAACAGGGTAATTGAGTATTATCAAGTGAGTTGATTAAGTAAATTGGCCACTGTAGAGAGTTTCAAAGCTGATACTTTGAGTTTTAGCCTTTCGTGAGAGCAAAAGACCAAGGGCTAATGCTCAAAACTTTCACAACAAAAACACTTTGTTTTGAAACTCTTTATGGTGGCCAATTTACATTATCAACTCAGTTGATGATACAAAATTACCTTGCAATATTACAAATACACAAGTAACTCATTCAGCAACCCTGATCACTTCTTATTTAATAACAGGGCAAGGTAAGAGGCACTTATCTGAGAGGGGCATATATCAAAAATTATCCCCTAACACCTAGCATCAGTGCAAATGATATCCTGTTATGGATAAAACATACCAATATCGCCACGCTCAACAACATGTTCTCAATAGTCTGCATGGATGACTAAGATTTTGATAAGTTCTGCTCTTGTGACTACTGAATACAAACTGAGCTCAAAATTTACTACATTTCCAAATCATAGTATCTACAATAACAATGCCCTGAATATGTCTGATCTATCCTTGCAGTATGCAACAACCTTGTTGTACATAAATCTTTCATATGGTATAGGTCACCAAATAGTTTGCTACAGCTTATTCAATAGAGCACTGAACCATGAAATCTGAAATTCTGAGGTTCAAATCCTCTTGCCAAGCTCAGAATTTTTCTTTACTCCTCATGGGTGACAAATGAATAACATCTCCCTTTCAATAACTTCTTGTTTTAAGATAAATTACAGGACATCGCCATATATAAACTAAAAAACGAATTATGTATAATTGACACAAACAATTATGATTTGTAATAAAATAGATTTCAGTATAATTTGTATTAAAATAGATTTCATTACACAAATGAGTAAGGTTGAATCAATACCTCAGGGGAATCAAACTGAAAGCTTCATGTACTTGTACACAGTTTTACTTACATAAGTGAGTTTTGCCACTGCGTTGGCTTTAACCGCAGCATTCTCCTGTCTCAATTCTTGTTTGATTTCATCCAGACAGGCAGCAATATATTTAGCCTGTAAAATCAACAAAAAATATACTTCCTGTTAGGAATACGTTTCGAGTCAAATTGTTCTGACTTGTGTAGAATATAATTGAAATTTTACAGACACACGCTTCGCCTAGAATCGATATCTAATTTAAGTTCCGCGCATGGATCTTACATAATCTTCTTTGGCATCATGCAAACACCAGAATGAAATGAGTTTCATTGAGAAGAATTGAACCAGTTAATTCACCAATTGATCGCCACATTTTTAATTTTCACATATTCTCATCTGCCAAAAATGTAAACTTATAATAGCCATCCAAGCGACATCAAAACCCTTACGAGCTCAATGATTATGGCTGTATAATTAAGATCAACATAAACTGAATGAACAGTATGCCACGTCGTCCGTGTAGAGGGCAACAATGCTCATGTGAGGAGAAATCGCATCATTCCTGTTCTTAATATACCTCGTTGCTTTTGTTGTTCCTTATTCCACGGACAAGATCCGTGAGGTTCTTTTCGAACATTTTGGATACTAGCTCTATACGTAGCCAAAAGAAAGGCGATATTGGTGGAATTCCGATAGAAAATCCTTTATCTACGGCATTTTCCAAACCGAAATTGATCCTCCCCCGAGAGTTCAAGATGGCGACTTAAACTCGCTGAGAGTTATGGGTAAGCTAGTGACAGCGGCTAATGTCAAGGGAGGGGTAGGAAAGGACATATTGGAACTTAAAATATATATTAAAGTTCACACGGCAACCAGGTGGACAATCAGACATGGTTTGATGCTACTCTGGTTTACAGATTTAATGAATGTAACCGAAGAAGTTACAATTCATAGACCCAACGTTTCGACACTCCTGTCTAGTGCCTTCATTAGGGGTGATCGAAACGCTGCAACAAGAGGTCCTTTTATATGATCACTAATTAGCGGCCTTTTTTCCTGACGAGGTGTAAATAGGCGTCAGGAAGCAAACCGCCATCGTCACGATTTAAAGGAGCATGGGCGGAGTTAATATGCCAAGCCTCCAAACAAAGGCGCTGGTGGTAACGCCGATTAGTGGTGATAATTTTAGAACTATCCCACCTGATTATCTGGTTATAGTATGGTTATATTGGAACTTTGTGTATCGAGCACTATCGAGTCTTTCAGATTGTGAGTTGAGATCAGAGATTGATGGGTTTTTGACCAATCAGAGGACAAATATAATCTCAGTGATTTCATTTTACGAGAAAACCATGTCTAGGACTATGCTTGGACAATTATCTTCACATATTTTCCAGGCATGAAGTTCATTTTTTGCACACCCATATTTTTTCAGTTTGATTCTCCGTATCTGTGTTTTTAAAAATAAATATGAATATGCTCAGAAACCATTTGGGCATGACTCATATCATGGGACAACCCTCACACGGAGATTTCGCCATACTCTTCGTCATGTGATCCCTATGATCTATGGTCTTAAGAATTCAGAGCTGGGTAGAAGTTCAGAGGGAAAAGAATGACTCCTCAACTTGACTTCTAGACAGTATGGTACACAAGATGTCACAAGCTTACTCAGATCAATCTTACGATGTATTAAATTGAAAGCGTTCGTCTGATTAAAAATCTTGGGAAAATTCTACGCGCCACCCATACCCCAGGTTAGCTTAGCAGCCTGGCAAAAGGAAGCACTGAGTATTGTGCGAACTCTAGAGGGGAATGAGAATGAATAGTAGTTATAAATTTATGCAAGTTTGTATGCGGTATCTTTTGAATGCGACTGTTCAAGACGTTTTGTTCGCTGTGATCGCAAGAAATCTCGCTCTGTAGCTCCTCTCTAACAGTCGTAATTTCACCCTCAGCACGGGTACACAATGTGCTTGGGTTCGACGCGTTTTTGTCGCTGATATTTCTAATTTTTACGACGCCAAATGGTGAATGTACTTGAAAATGGTATCCCTAGAAACTTCTGGCTCCGAAGGCCTTTCGTCAAAGGTGTGTTGTATATTTTTATTTATCTAGATCTATGATCAAGATGGTTCAAAATTTTGCCGGATTAGCATCTATTATAGTAGTGTTTTAGCAGAAAATGTTAAAATCTAATCTGCAGTGCTTTTGTCCCGTTACAAGCGGCCCTCAAAAACCTGAACTAACAAACTCATGAACTCAACTTTATTCCTTCTAGCGACCGATCCGCGACAGATAGAATGTTGTTCACATTGAATCTTTCTTCTTCAATCCTTTTGTGATTTAGACAACAAGCTTTATTGCTGTACCGCCAGCGTGAAAGTATTTCACAGCTAGATCATGCACACTCGTTTTATTGTAGAGTTCTCCGATCGAGGATCACTGAGCCAAACGAAAAATAGAATTAAATTCGCAGTTTATCTTTAGCATAGTTTATTCTTCTGGGATTGTTGACTAGGTCGTAGTGAAGACACACTACTTTTTTTTCAAAAAAGAGCGAAATAATGTCACAATTTTATTGGTCCTGCAAAAAGTAATATAAAACACATCCGTTCTCACTGACACTGCATTTGACGCGTGTTTTACTTTGTACACGCTTGACAAATTTTGACACCGTCTTTCCCGCGCGTAGCGATGATGAATTAAGCTTTTTTGTGATCGCATTTTCCTTGGGGGAATGTGTACAGCACAATAGTCTTAACTTGTAGTCGGAAAAACTAACGTATTGTATCCATTTTCTCGTTGTGAAAAAAGTGATCTTTCTCTTTCAAATAATTCCACCTGCTCCATGTCCGAACTCGGAAATAACAAATTTGTATTCCTATCCATTTCATTCTGTTTGTTTTGCGAGAAAGGTTTTGGATGTAATGAGCTGAGTTCACCTATTTTCCATCGCAAATGTTGCATTCTTTAATGTGGTGACACTATTTTTTTCCGCTTCGTAAAATCTTACTGCAATATTTAAGGTTTGAAACTTTTTATTCTTGCAAAGATATTATTAGGAACACTTTGTTTTGCTTGTCATGAATTCGAAGCTTTTAAATTTAATTTTCATTTCATAAGCCACTCTAAAGTGAGTTTAAAAATTTGGTATTTTTACTCAATATTGTGAGATGCGAGGTACTATAGACATTATGGGTTTAAAAAAAATCAATGTATTATCTGAAATGTGATAAATTTTTTAATCTCTTCAGACTTTGAGGAAAAGTATTTTCAATTAAAAGATTAGCAACTTTTTTCCATCTTTTTCTTCATTGAGATAAATTTTGAAGTGGTTCTTTCTTGAATTTTTTTCATTGTTGATCAGATATTTTGTTAAATTGTTGTCCAACCAGAATTGCTTTTGAATTAAATATTATTAAAATTTTTATTTTGAATAATGATTTTATTTTTACAGAATATTTTCATTGGAGCAGCACTAGCAATTACTGGAAATCTCCTTATCAGCATTTCAATGAATATACAGGTCAGTAGATTGAGAGTGTTTTTATTTTAAGTAGTCTTTGGGGTTAAGATTATAAATAATTAAAGCTCTCCAAAATGAATTTCTCTCAGACATGTACACACGCATGCATTCTTCAATTTTAGAGGCAAGTGTTGGATTTGAGTGATGATTACTTAACTCAGGTCTAACAGCAAGGCATGAAAAAATTTCCAACCAGCACTGGTCAATTTATGTGGTCTAACCTACTCTTGCTTTAAAGGGACAACTTATTTTTAGCTGGAAAAATATCCACAACATTATATCTCTATAAATCCCCTCTCCTTTATGAAATATGTGTAAGTACTTTACCATGCTTTAGTTGTACATGTAGCCTCCAACTCAATGCAAGATAAATGATACACCTATATTTAAAACCTGAACATAGCTTGGAATTAAATTTTTCTTTACTTATGTAAACAATCGGAGGAAATGTGTGGCCATCCAAGGAGTTAACTGGACTAAACCTACATGTATATTTGACCTGATATTGTCCGTAGACTGGTCATTATTTCCAGCCCTGACCAGTAGAAATATAAAAGAACTTGTTTTTAAAGTTTGATACACTGTGTAGGTTTTATTGCTGATTGTTAATGAATAGTTATAAATACCACAATGGAATACTAATCTTATAATAATCAAACTGCTCTTTAAAAGTTTTGTGTATTTATTTGTATTTTTGAATTGTATTAGCAAAGTATAGTGTCTGGTAATTTTATAAACCTTTTTTGTGAACAAGTGTTATTGATTCTTCCTTGATCTAGAGGTCTCAAACCATTTGAACTGTAGTTTTATTTGCACTGTCTTCCCAAAATTTTTATTTCTTTTTCAGAAATCAGTGTTTTTTTTTTGTGAAAAATTCAATTAACCAAGTAACTTCTCTCTTGAAAAAGGATGCATTTTTTTTCTAAAAATAAATCCTTATATGAGACATTATTAGTTCTTTTGAATTCAGTATTGCATACATTTCAAATCCCTTTTTCATTTGTGGTGTACAAGACAAGGGTTTGCTTTATTAATTCAAAACGAAAATTTAGAAAATGAAAGCTCTTCCTATGTAACAAAGCTTTTCCATTTGTTACATGTCATTGTCGCCAAAGCACTTTTGAATTCTGAAATCTTCAGTGGATGAATTTGTGAAGCTCATTTATAATTTACAAGAACTGAATAACATTGAATTGTAATATTCGTGTGAAATTGCTTTTCAGACCTACACGTTTAGAAAATTTACAATTAGTTTTTACTTTTGTCATAGAAATATTCCCATTTGCGCCAAGCAGAAGAGAAAAGTGAAACACACTATTTGAAGAGTAAAATATGGTGGTATGTTTTCTCAATCTTTGTTTCAGTTATAATTTGAATTATTAATGAAGATGTAGAGAGATCTTTTAAGAATAGCACATTGGGTGTCATCTTATTGTTGTCTTATTGAAAGGGTGCAAATTTTCACCTCACACCCAATGTGACAATACTACAGTGCACATGTGTATTAATTTTGAAATTAAAAGCACAGATAAGTCAATATGATAAAAACATTTGTTTATTCAAGCTATTTGAAATTTTTTAGATTTATGCTGTAATGCAGGATGAAATGTGCTAAGTGTCTTGAAAATTATATATTAAGCATGTGGGAATTCTGGCCAACTATACCAAGCATACTAAAGTTGGTCAATAAAGGAATTATCAAAGAAGAAAGATAGAGAATTTTCTTCGAAATTTTCTTCAGCCCTTTGACCTCAAAGAGAGACTGGCATCCAATTTGTTTATCACCCCTAAATAAAACATTAAGGTCACAAGGATAAAGGAAAGGGTCAGCAAGTAAGGATAGCTCAGGATTGTTAGACAAATTCTCCTTGTCAGCACCTTAGGAAATGTATAGAGAACAGTATGGAGAATATGCTCAACAAATAGATTCCAAGTTTCTGTGCATCTGTTCGGTAATAGACCACAGATGACGTCAAAATGTGGCAAGAACAAAAAAGTGGCACACGAGGCACAGCCGAACGTTTCACTGATGTTCTTACCATAATTATTTTGACATCCTCTGTGATCTATTACTGAACAGATGCATGGCAACTTGGAATCTATTTGTTTTATAGAATAAAGAATTAAAATGTACAGAAAAAAATTTTTGATGATGACATCATCTATGCACCTGTCCTCCAATAGATCATAAGTGAGAACCAGTCAGAATGCGTGCATAACTGAGCTTATTATCTAAATACTAATAGATGTTTGGGTGTAAAGGGCAAATTAAAAAAATGCTAACTTGTTTTTGATGAATTTAGGGTTGGTCTTATTTTAATGGTTCTTGGAGAAATTGGAAACTTCTCAGCTTATGGCTTCTCACCAGCATCACTTGTGGCTCCACTTGGAACTACCACTGTAATAGGTATGTGTTTGGATATCTTTCTAATCTGTTATATATGCAGGGCTGTATACAATAGCTGGTAGCCAGTTTATTTTCACACAACAGACCTGTATTAATTGTTATTTATCAGGAGGAAGGTCTGGCATTTGATCTGTGCCCGAGGTCTTGAGTTTTGCTTAAGGTCAACTGCCAAGGGCCAAACTCAAGACCAAGGGTGCATTTTTTCCATATAGGGGCCAACCTAGACCAGTAAAAAACTTATTTGTTGTTCTATTAGTTTGCTATTTTCTGCTTTGCCACAAATAGCAAGACAAAAATTCTGGATCTAGCCTTTGTACAAAAGCTAGAAGGGTTTTGACACAGGATTAGCCACTCAGATTCAAGAATTTAAGAGTTCAGCCCACCAAGATACTTCAGTAAAAAAAATATATATTATTTTCATCTAAAGGGTGCTTTTGACCAAAATACTTGTTGGTAAAAACTCAAGATATGACTGCAAAAACGGTCTAATTGAAGTATAAAATTTGATAGCCATACCTTCTACTCTATATTACAGTGACCATTCATTTACTTTTTACTTTGAAACTTTCAGGAAGTCATGTACAGTCGAATCTTGATTATCCAGACTTGTTGGGACCTCGATAAATAGTCCGGATAATCGAGAGTCCAGATAATTGAAAATATGAATATTAATGATTCATTTTAATCCTTCGCTTGTATCAATGCTGTCTGTAGATTTTAGGTTCTTGTCTTTGTCCTTCCGTATGTCTGAGATCTGCTGCTTGCTGATGCTATATTCTTGAGCCAAATTTGTTTGCTTCTCTCCTTTATCCAAACGTGAAATAATTATCTGCTTATCTTTAATCAATAGAACGGCTTGCTTTCGCTTCATAGACATGTTTTTGATTTGAGTTTACAATTAATTGCTTGTGTGTTTACATGACCCAAGCGGAAGGAACTAATCAAGCATGAAATTCATGTAGCAACAAAACAATTGAACCAATCAGATATCAGCTGCACGCATCAGAATATTTCTTTGTCTTGTTGCACTTTCAAATTTTGAAAAGCGCACAGAATAATATGCCATTTCAACAATCTTTTGAAAGGATTATTGGGCTTTTTGCTACTTTCAGTTTTCAAGATCACAACTAATTAATATTCATAGAAAAATTGGGACCAGAGAAAAAAGTCCGGATAATCGAGGTTTGACTGTACATGTATTTGATTTTGTGATCAAAGCTACCATTGTTTAATTAGAATCTCTCTTTTCTTACAGCTAATGCCATCATTGCTGTTGTTTTTCTGAGGGAAAGAGTGCGATACCAAGATGTTTTTGGTAATTTTGATTATTAAATTTTATATGCAAGTTTTGAACAAATTGAGCATGATCAATGTTTAAAAATGAATGTTACTGAAAATAAGTTTTCATTTATACCAGAAAGAGTAAAATAATTAATTCTGTTCTCATCAACAAGTACAAATCAGTAACAATCTCCACTCTTTGTCATCTTTAGGTGTTACCCTTGCAATTGTTGGTGCCTTTTTGCTCATAACATTTTCAACCAAGGTACAGTGTTCACTAGGAGTTAATTTTAGATATTTCAATATTTAAACGTTTTGCAATTTTTTCTGACATCTGTAAAGTCTTCTTTAGTCTAAGAGCTATCCAATTATCTCTTAATTATTTCCTTAAATCAACATGATATTTATTTATCCAACAGGAGTTTTCAGAATTGACTGGACAAGAATTGGCATCCTATTTGCGTCAGTGGCCTTTCCTTGTCTATCTGGTGAGCCTTTTCATTTCTGGTTGACATGTCATAGATGTTTAAGATGGTTTGTGTTTTCTAGACCCATAGCAGACTTCTGTCACATCTGATGATTGACCCATGGAAACCAATTCCTAAACAATCTGTGTTAACAGAGGAACAGTAACATTTGCTACTTAGAATTTTCTAGAAATGTAAAAAAGGTTTAGTATGTGTATTTCATGAGTGCAAAAGCATGCTTGCAACATGAGATATTTCATTGAAAGTTTATGTAAACAGTGGTGTAGGATGTAAGAAATCAGGCTGTCACACTTGTCAGTCTCGTATTCATGTAACACCTGTGTGGCACGGGATTGTTTGGCTACCTGGCCAAGTTTAGATATATTGTCAGTAAATAAATCTCTGTTGATTATTCTTCAAATCTCACTCATATTTTGGACATGAAACCTCACCATATGCTACATAAATGTCATCTCTCCATTGCTCTACAATGTTGTTAGTTAACCAGGCAAACCTTTATTCAACAACTGTTTTCTTCATATTCAAGTAGAGAAATTAAATTTAACCCTTTAACTCCCTGATCAAATTTGTAATTCTCCTTACTGTCAACCATGCAATTCTTATCATGATAGTTCAGAGAATTAACTATTGAATCAACCAATTATCCCCAAATTGATATTTTTCTTAATTCTCATCACTTATCTGGTTGACATTGTATTGATATTGTAAGGAGAAATTCTGTCTTGGTCACTTCTGGGAGTTATAGGGTTAAGCAAGTTAAAGATCATTGCAATCTGATCAGCAGCTTTTGTTACATACAGTGTAGTGGCGCAGATAATTTACTTCAGATCTTTTATTGTTTTCCTCCAGGCACTGGAAGTTGCTCTGTTTTGTATTCTACTCATTGCTCAATGGCGTTATGACTTGGAAAATGTGGTAGTCTTCCTACTCCTGGTAGCATTGTTAGGTAGGTTCAACCTTTAGACCCTTAAGAGTGACTAACATCTAATTTCTCCTTACAGTATCACCCCTGAATCACACATTAAGGTTGTGGGAATAAGGGAAATGATCATCATCCAGAGAGGCTCTTGATTGTTAAACAAATTCTCTTTGTAAGCACCTTAGGAACTGTATTTTAGTACAGTACTGAGAATATGCATACTGATGTTAGGGTGGAAATGATTCATGTACATAATTGCACCATTTACCAGTAGTTATAGCTTGTAAAAAATATTACTCAGTTTTTAAACAAGCTACAAATGTTTATCATTATATTTTTTGTTTTCTTTTGAGTAGTTGAAAATTGTTTTAGACCACAGTATTTTCCAAGAATATTTTGTAGGCATCCAGAATAAAATAAATAGATAAAAAAAGAAATTAAAAAACAGTAGCTGCCAGAGGTGAAGATTGATTTCAGGTTAAGAAATGTGTTTAATTTTTTTTTCTCTGATTGAAGCGGCAAGTGCTTCAACAGCAGTGGCCCTCTAAAATACAGTCCACCAGGGTCTTCTGAAGAATACTGCAAACCCTTTACAATTTCTACCAAAGGGCCAAATTTAAGGAAGTTGGCTGTAGGTCACAAACTCGTTTATCTGACTTTTTCTGTATTGCAACCAAAAAAATGTTACTGTCTGTTTAGGTGTGTTATTTTCAAGATTCCATCACAACTCTGAAATGCGAAAATTGAGTTCAGGAGAATTATAAAATGGAGTGTTTGGAAGAAATCTTTCAATACATGTAATTTCCTATTGACTGCTTGATTCTTTTTGGTTGCTCCTGTCTATTAAGCAAATTCTCCTTCTTAATTACAAAATGAATGCAGGGAGAGGAGTAGGGAGAAAATGCAGACTGATGTTTGGCCGTATAGGGTTAAATAAAGGGATCTACATGTAACACCCTGTTGCCATTTTATTGACTGTTTGACATGACTGTTTTTGTTCTTTTATTTCATGACAGGTTCTTTGACTGTAATATCGGCAAAAGCTGTATCATCCATGATAAACATAACACTGGGTGGAAACAGTCAGTTGGGGCATCCTTTGTTTTACGTCATGCTTATTGTCATGATTACCACAGCTATCGCACAAGTCAAGTAAGTATTAAAACACAAATTTAACAGTCAACTTTCATTCTTTGTAAATGACAATCTTGTGGATAAAAAATGTTGACCTCACTCAAGAGAACCCTTCCTGATCAGTTTTCCATGGCTAACACAAAACTTGCACTATTGCAGCCATACATGACATATTTTGGAACTTCAAGGCACATGATAAGGAGAGCCACTTTAAATATTTGTGCTTCTTTGCAACCTCCAATTCTTGAGTCAGAAAAAGGACAGGGAAGACAGTTGTATCACAATTCTCCTGAATGTCTCCAAAAAGTTTTGGAACATCCTCAGAAAAGTCTTTGATATCAATGGATGGAAAAATTCTAAGGTTTTGTTGCTTTTTTTTTTTCACAGATTTCTCAACAGAGCCATGCAGTCTTTTGATGCGACTGTTGTAGTTCCCACCAACTTTGTTTTATTTACAATTAGTGCTATCATAAGTGGTGAGTAACAGAAAGAAGTATAAAGTAATCACTCCCAGATCTCATTAGAAATTCTCCTTTCTGTCTGCCATAAATTTCTTGTGATCATTTGGAGAATTTGGTATTGGAATGACTAATAATTGTTTGCTTGATACTGTATTGATATTGTGAGGAGAAATTCTGTCTTGGTTGCTCATGGGAGTTGATAAGAGAGATAATTGAGCTAAAAAGCTAGCAGTTATATAGCTTACTATTTTTTCTTTTGATTTCAGGTATTGTTTTGTATAAAGAATTTTATGGTCTTACATTTCTGGAAATATTTATGTTTCTTTTTGGGTAAGTTTCTGTATTTTGTTGAAACCAAAGTTTCTCTTTTCAAAGTACATTCTGCAAAATCCTGGCATCCAACTTGACAATGACTGGAACAGTTAATATTATACTTTTCCCAGTATTTTGTTTTAATAATTAAAATGAAGATTATGAAGATCTATTTTGTAGAATTGATTGGCTCAGATTTTAAACAGTTATGAACAACTTTTGCAGGTGCATTTTGTCGTTTATCGGTGTTTATTACATCACCTCAGACCGAAAACAAGAGGAGTCAGACGAGCAGCTACTTCTTACAAATGCTGACCTGTTCCCTGGTATGTCAATAATCATTAACCCTTTAACTCCCTGTAGTGATCAGCATGAAACTTCTCCCTATAATACCTTTACATTATCAAGCAAACAGGTAATGAGAATATTCAAACTCATCAGGCGGCAGTTGTTATCTTGATCTTACGCCAAATTCTCATAACTAATTTACAAGGATATTTGTAGCAGCTAGAGGGGAGAATTAAGGATAAGATCTTGAGGGTTAAATGGTTAATCTTTTGAGCTATTACTTTTCTTTAATCCTTCAACTCCCAACATTTAATTTTCTTAGAATATCCAGACATCGTACTACAAACGGTTTATGAGAATACTCAATGATCCACAGACTGGTAGAAGTTTGGAGGAAACTGATATGAAAGTATTTTAATTGATTTTGTTTTTTCAGGATTCTTGTCACTTTCCTCATCGAAGTTGATTGCAGTACAACCCAACAACATGCTAACAGCCTCTCATGTGGAGTATCCCATGCTCCCTAGCAAGCCAACTTATGAATCAACTGCTGATGCAGAACAACAAGTGGAAGGAGGGACATAACCTGTTACAACCTGAACATTAATTTCTTGCACAAATAGTACTTTTGGAATGAACTATTAACATGACGTTTTTGATTCTGTCTTCCAAATGGTGGGGTGGGTTGAGGGGGGGTGGGGCAAAGTGGATTGAATAGGGGGTGGGGTGATGGGTCTGAATGACTCATGTGAAAGTGCCCAGTACAGTTGTTCATAAATTCTATTTCATACAGGAGACACTTTTGCTAATGTTAAAATATTCATTCACCTTTTTTTATTTCTATTTTAAGTTCCCTTTTCTTCCCTTGCAGTCATTTAATTCTTTCACTCTCAGGAATGACCAAGAGGTATTTTCTCCTTGAAGTGTAAATACACTATTGAGGAGACAGATGGTGAGAATTACAAAAATGAGAAAACAAAAAAATGTATCAACTAAGTGAAAGAATTTGATTGAATGTATAAAATTCTCATTACTGTCACTAGATGAAGTTTGTGGCAGTTGCTAATGAGAATTACTTTTGAGATCTTGAGAGTGAGAAGATTAAATGAGAGATTGTTACTCTGCTCTCCACTAGAGGCTGCTTTCATGAGTACAACACTCCTTCTATTTGTGGCATTTGTGTTGACCACAAGAGTGGTATCATCAAAGATTACACCACTAAATCAGTGGTAATTGAGCATGTCATACATATTTGCTTGTTTTCCCACAAATTACTTTAAATTTAGGTTCTGTATGGAAACATTTGGGTTTAGGGAATGAAAGGGAATGTTGTTTCTGGCAGGATGGTGTGCAAGAACAGAAAAATGATTTCTCTTAAGAGGGTTGTTTAATGTACAACCTTAATAGGTTAGCTTTAATTGTCAAAGGTATTAAACAACTCGAAGACTTATTTTCATGGCCTAAGGATGCATGTAGCATATACCATTTTTTTTTAAATTCATGCACAAAGGGAGCAAAGATGTGTCATACATTAGTTTATTAGGAGGTGTTAAACTATTATGGTATGTGTACACATGTAAGTGACACCTCAAAGTTGTATCTTTTTAAAGAGATATGTTACGCCAGAATGAGTGCATGTCACACCTCTGAGATGTGTCACACCACTAAGATATGTGACAGCGCAAAGACATTATTACACATCATGCCATTAACATATTTCACACTGCAATCATATGTCACGCCATCAAGACATGTTACCTCCTTAAGATACATTACAGCATAAAGATAACAAAAATGCCTGTTGTTGCTGTATCACAAAGATGCTGCATCCTCATCATAAGGTGCTCTCGAGGGTGGGGGGTGGGGAGGGGGTATAAGTCAACCACTGAAAGACACCCAAGAAGCAACAATAAAGCAAATGGGAACTGCAATGGTAAATAATAAATAAGATTTAGGTTGATTTTACTATAAAACTTCTATTTAGCAGACATGGACAAAGCCCTCAGTAAGTGTCCTCTTGATAAGTGTGTGTCCACTACATTCATATTCAGTGAATTGTGTACCTAAAATTTGTTTGTTTCAAAATGAAGTAGTGATCAGCAACCTCTCCTATCTGGTTATTTTGTATCAATGAAATGAAAAAGTACTGGAATCAATTTGTTAAAAATAGATTATAATAATAGTAATAATATTATTATTTGTAATCAAATTGAAATGAGACTTGCATTCCTGATTAAGTTGTCTGTTTAATACAGGTTTAATGTAATAGAAGTGTTAAACCCTATAACTCCCAAGATCTGATTGTTACTTCTCCCCTTTAGCTGCTACACATTTCATTGTAAATTAATTATGAGAATTAGGTTTTAGATCGAGATAGCAACCTCAACCTTATAAGTGCAAGTACTCTCATTACTGTATGGATATTATAGTGAGAAGTTACATCTTTATCTGTTCTGGGAGTGAAAGGGTGAATTTGGAGAATTGATTGCTGAAAAATAGGTGCCTGCTTTTATCATAGGTTCTTCATGTTCAATTGTATTTGAAACCTACTGTACTAGTTTAGGTTGCTTGTACTTTAACCCTCTGCGGTAATTGTTCCAAGCTGACAGCCTGCAGCCAAAGAATGTAATATTGTTTATTGTTTCCTATTTATCCTTGGGTACAAAAAGTTATTTTTATTGATGTAAAATACTGGAGTATTTTGTTTATTTCTTTACAAGAGAATTAGAATGAAGGGATGGACCCGACTTTTGTTTACAAGGAAATATATATAATGTGAATTGTAGTTCCAAGATTTTTCCTTATATGACAAATCTAGAAAAAAGGTATATAAATATTAGATTTCTTTTCTCTTTTGTCCATTCACAAAACCTTGAGATTAAAAGAAAAAAAAAAGTTGCATGGGTCTGTGGTACATTTAGGTGTAGTCTGTGAGCACCCTTCATCAGGAACACTTATGGTTCATAAAAGTAGTTTAATAATAAACTGGCAGTGTACTAATGAGAAGTTGTAGAATTTGTTCTTTCTTCCTTTTTTGTTTTTTGTCTACCACGTCTGGTTTGGGTGAGGTGAAAGACGAGGTGGGGGGGGGGGGGGGGCTCCTTTCATAAGGAATGAAAGTATATCATTGCCAAACAATAAGTTTGAATTGCAGAAGGACAAACAAAAAATTTTCCTGATTTTTGCAAGGTGATTCAAGTCTGCATGAAATTTGTAGTTGGTAAAATGACTGCTGAAAGACACCTATGAAGCATTTTCAAAATGATATGCTCTTTTGATTTGATTTGTTCTTCTTTGTTCTGCTTTGTTTTTGTAATGGTCTTTGTCAACTTTTTTTAACTTTTCACCTGACGTTTAAGGCAACTGATGTTGGGAATAACCTTGTAATCTGAGTCCCAGTTCCTATCTTTAACTATTCAGTGCACATCGTCTGTTAACCATTTTGAGTTGTGGTGGTTTTCCTTTTTCAAATTTGTAGAAGTTCACATACCCAACATCACAACATTTTGTGGGTAAGTGATTGGGAAGAGTCATTAGCCCTTAAACTCCCATGAGTGACCAAGAAAGAATTTCTCCTTACCATATATATGAAATATTAAGCAGACAGGTGATGAGAATATAGAAAAACATTGATTAGGGGATTATTAGTTGATCAAAATATCAAATTCTCTGAAGTGGCATCATAAGAGATATATGGTTGACAGTAAAGAGAATTTGTGAGGACATCTTGGGAGTGAAAGTGTTGATTACCAGGGCTCAGTCTTTTGAAGGCTGATTGGCTTAAACCCAAGGTTAAATTTTGATCCAGGTTTGTTTATTTCTTTGTACAAAAGCCTTTCTAGGACAACTTTCTCTATTCTTTTCAGAGCATCCAGTAATCACATCATAGAGGAAAAGAATAATATGGAATTTTTTAATAAAGCCTTCAAATCTGAAATCACATTTCACACTAATCCTGGTTTATCTTGACCCAGCTTTGAACAACCCAGCCCAGATTTTTAGTTTTAAAGGATTTTGCAGAGAACAAGGAAAGCTTGTTGTGATATCTAAAAACACGAAGAAGACAGAACAAGATTCAGTTTAGTTACTTTATTAAAACTACTGACTAAATCATTTGCAACATGTCAGCAATGATAATTATACTCGAAAATGAGATAATCAGTTAACCCTTTAACTCCCATGAGTGACCAAGACAGAATTTCTCCTTACAATATCAATACAATATCAACCAGAGAAGTTATGAGAATAAAGAAATATATCAATTTGGGGATAATTAGTTGATCCAATACCAAATTCTCTGAACCAACATTATAAGAATTGCATGGATGACAGTAAAGAGAATTACAAATTTGATCTGGGAGTTAATGGATCAGTTGATCTGCAGATTAATTCTCTTTAAATATGAATCTTGTATGTTTCTTACATTTATGACCCTTGTGGAAACTAAACCTAAAAAAAATCCAACTTTTTTCACTTATTTTATACCAAGGGTCAACTGACTTACTACTGACAGAGGAAATTAAGTTTTGAAATGTTTTCCTCTCTTTACCAAAAGGTAATACTGACTATTAAACAAAACAAGATATAAATTAATCCTTAGAGTTCAATGTACAATCTACAATTGCTGATTCACTGACAACTTGTTTTCAAGATAGTATAATTATACAATCTGAAAGGCTTTTCTACTACAACTGGTAAAGAGAATGTAGAAAATCAATCACTATAGATAGCAATCAAATCTGCACTGTACATTTTTAACCCAATTGAAACTTAAACTCTCCTAAGATTCTAACTTTTCTAATCCAACTTTCACTGAGGGTCGACTTATTTACAACTGACTGAGGAAAGATTTCTATGTCTACCAAATGTGGTAATGCTGTTTGATAAAATTTTACAGAAGCTGCAACAAATCAGAACTTTAAATTTTGTCTCGTTTAAAACCATCCAGCATTCAGACAGGTGACTCGAGTTTTCAAAACTGTGTTACCACCACAAGCTGAGTATCATAATTACTATCTACATCTTGAAAAAAAAACTATCCATCCGTAAGACAAGATAAAAAAAAGTTTCAAAAAGTTTTTCCTCTTGAAATTTAAGCCCTTATACTACAACATATATTACACTTCTTAAAGTTTACATGCCTGACACAACTTCTCCTGTCGAGTATCAGCAAGGAAATTTTCTTTCAATGCAGCATCAGGCTATGGAAAATTATACGGGAGTCCCCACAAAAGAGGTTCGCCGATTGTTTCTTGTATGCCTCACTTTTATCCCTCACAGTCCGGTTCCTCCTTCCTGAAGTGAAAGAAACAAAAACTTGGAATCTATGCACATTATTATCAAAATAATTCGAAGCCACAGCCGTTTTCCAATCAGAAACTGTAAGGGACGACTCCGAGTTGTCAATCTCAGAATTCTTAAACGTTCTTATATTTGATATAAATGTAATTCGAAACCGAATTTACATCTATTAGATTTGGAACCCTCGAAACTATTTATTTTTTCGCATTTTTAAAAAACAAGCGTTGAAAAAGTCTACTGATATTTTACGGATAAAAGCCAACACGTCAATTCATTCTAGGCATCTTAACAGAAATTAGCTCCTGTAGATGAAAAAGTATTAGTTGTGACTCGCTGTTTGGAAAGACAACCTACCTCTTCAGCGACTTAAAGTCAAATGTCACGTTATCTCCAATCAGCATGAACGGAGCCCACTGGGAAACTTTGGTAAAGCCGTTGTTCCTCAGCCATTTCATGGCCTGGTGAAGACATTCACTGGCACTAAATCCGTCAACAAGGTGTCTGTAGAAACGTGTTATGAACTGCTCTGTTGCTTCGTCCTCTATGGCCCACAGTGTCACCAGCACTGAACGCGCACCGGATGCTAAGAACGCTCGTGCGATTCCAAGAACTCCCTCGACTTTAATCTCTCCTCGCCCACTGTGACAACAGCTGAGTATTACCAGTTTGGCTCGCAGCTTAACTTGTGAAATATCAGAGACCCTCAAGAGGTAGTCTTCTTCTTCTGGAATACTGTCAGCAGTGGGGCGAGGGGAAAGGGCAATCTCTCCTCTGTCGGCATTACCATGGGCAGCAATATGAATCAAACTCACTGAGTTCATTGCTTGAAGTACCGCATCTCTGGTCGCACGCTCTCCTAACAAAGGCTGAACACCCAGCAGTTGTCCGATCATCTCTGCTTCCTTTCTTGCACCGGCCAGTGATGTGAAGTTATGGATTTCTCCCCTGTAACGCGCCCTGCCTACCTTAGGATCACCCACAACCAGAGCACCGTTCTGACTGTGATACTCCGCTGGGCAGTCCTGAATGAGCTTGAGAATCGTCAAAGAAGGGACAATGCGAATCCTGAAAGTCTCTGCTAAACACTTTCCGCCTGGTTGGTGACGTAGGGCTGCAAATGGGACTCGGTACAAGCTGCGTTCGGGAATAATGATGATCTCTGGCTCTGTGAGTAGATCGGCCACTGGAGAGATGATCACTTTGGAACACAACTGAAGTCTTCTTATGGTGTCTTGAGTTTCCTCACCTCGCAAATCTGCTTCACCTTCATCATAAGGTGATGTTGGCATGGTTTCACTCAAAGATCGATCTTCGCACTTGTGATTGGGTAAAATACTAAAGCGGTGGAGACTCTTGTTAAAAAAGCTATTCAAATCAAAAGCTTTTTCGGCAATGAGACTTTTGTCATCGACTGTCTCGGAAATTCGAAACAGAATGTCTCCGTTTGTTTTCAAAACCCAAAGCAAAACCCGTCGATCTTCATACGAAATGTACAGGAATGCGGAGTTATGTTCTTTTCTTAAAATCCCTTGCATCCCAAACCATGATTTCGGATCAGATGAGATGTGACTTTTAACGGTGAAGTTTCTTGCCATTGAGTCTGCCAAGCACCTAGCTCGAGCAAGTTCCTCAACGTAAAGTGCATCTTGAGGATTTTTTCCTGTTAAGCATAGGATCCGACTGAGCATCTTGTAAGGGAAAACTCCAGTCCACTCTAAAAGAGATACTTGAAACTGCTCGTTTCCCTGTACAGAATCTCGCAATTTTTCGTATTTCTCAATACACTGTTGAAGATACGAAACCGCTTCCTCGAACTTTGATTGGAAACACTTTACGACGGAAAGAGACTGTAGAGCATGAAACTCTTCTCTAATATCACCAACATCGCTGCTGATCAAGCACGCCTTCTTTAAGTATTCTTCGGCCAAGTCATTTTGGCCAAGCTGTCGAAACAGATGTCCCAGTTTTTGATAACAATCTGCTTCTAAGCTTCTGTTACCGATTTCAGTCATGATTGCAAGTTTTTTCTCGAAACATTCTTTAGCTCTCTGATAGTCATGTAGCAAAAAAAGCACATCTCCAAGAAGTCCATGAGCATTTGCCTCTCCTTCTCTGAGTCCAATTTCCATTGCGATAGAAAGGGCTTTTTCGCCACATTCTTTGGCGTCCCGATATTTTCTAAGGCAAAGAAACAATTGTCCTACATTCAAGTAGTCAATCGATTGTTCCTTTTTAACACCAGTTTCCGTATCAATGGCAAGTGCTTTCTCGAAATATTCTTTTGCCTTGCAATGTTCACCAAGTGTTTGCAACACGATTCCTAGGTTTCTGTAACTTGCTGCTACTCCTGCCCTGCAACCCATTTCCATATTGATGGCAAGTGCTTTCTCGTGATATTCTATTGCCTTGTGATATTCACCAAGTGATTGCAACACAGTTCCTAGGTTTCCGTAATTTCCTGCTACTCCTGCCCTGTCACCAATTTCCATACTGATGGCAAGTGCTTTCTCGTGATATTCTTTCGCTTTTTGGTATTCACCAAGTGATTTTAACACAATTCCTAAGTTTCCGTAATTTACTGCTACTCCTGCCCTGTCACCAATTTCCATATTGATGGCAAGTGCTTTCTCGAGATATTCTTTAGCCTTGTGATATTCACCAAGTGATTTCAACACAGTTCCTAGGTTTCCGTAATCTAGTGCTACTCCTGCCCTGTCACCAATTTCCATATTGATGGCAAGTGCTTTCTCGTAATATTCTTTAGCCTTGTGATATTCACCAAGTGATTGCAACACAGACCCTAGGTTTCCGTAATTTAGTGCTACTCCTGCCCTGTCACCAATTTCCATATTGATGGCAAGTGCTTTCTCCTGATATTCTTTAGCCTTGTGATATTCACCAAGTGATTGCAACACAGTTCCTAGGTTTCCGTAATTTACTGCTACTCCTGCCCTGTCACCAATTTCCATATTGATGGCAAGTGCTTTCTCGTAATATTCTTTAGCCTTGTGGTATTCACCAAGTGAATGCAAATTCTACTAAGTTTCCGTAATTTGTGCCTTGCCACCAATTTCCATATTGACTGCAAGTGCTTTCTCGTGATATTCTTTAGTTATTGTAATTTAAAGCTACTCGTGCCTTGTCACCAAAGTTTCCATTGTGATATTCATTGATGGCAAGTGCTTTTACTCTTGTGCACCAATTTCCATGCTGATGGCTATTCTTTAGCCTTGTGATATTCACCAAGTGATTTTAACACATTTCCTAGGTTTCCGTAATTTGTTGCTACTCCTGCCCTGTCACCAATTTCCATATTGATGGCAAGTGCTTTCTTGTGATATTCTTTAGCCTTGTGATATTCACCAAGTGATTGCAACACAGTTCCTAAGTTTCCGTAATTTACTGCTACTCCAGCCCTGTCACCAATTTCCATGCTGATGGCAATTGCTTTCTCGTGACATTCTTTAGCCTTGTGATATTCACGAAGTGATTGCAACACAACTCCTAGATCTCCGTAATTTGTTGCTACTTTTGCCCTGTCACTAATTTCCACATTGATGGCAAGTGCTTTCTTGTGATTTTCTTTAGCCTTTTGATATTCACCAAGTGATTGCAGCACTCTTCCTAGGTTTTCGCAATTGATTGCTACTTCTTCCTTGTCACCAATTTCCATATTGATGGCGACTGCTTTCTCCCAATGCTCTTTAGCCCTCTGATATTCACGAAGTGATTGAAACACAAGTCCTAGCCTAGTGTTACCTCGGGCTTCTCCCACCTTATTACCTACTTTCTTCAGGATTTTGATCGCGTCCTCAGAAAGTCTTGCTGCCTCCAGAAACCTTCTTTGCCTGTGATAAATACCTGCCAGTGCTAACCTGAGGGTTCCTTCTGTTTCTGTAGCATGTGAGTCTTTGATCATGGGAAGAAGTTTTCTTGCGCATTTTTCTGCGTTTTTGTCATCATTGATGGTATAGTATGCATTGAACATTACCGTATAAATGCTATGGTTGCATGATTTGGTAAAGTGATCCTCTGTACCCAATGCTGAGTTGTTAAGTAAAACCAAACATTCTTTGCATAATTCGATTGCTTGTAGGTTACGTTTAGTATTTTGAAGGAAGTTGGCGACAGAAGTACCCACAAAGATGGTTTTTTTGAAACTTTCCCTGTTGTTCATTACGGCTTCGTTGTGTACATTCAGGGATTGGCTCGGAATTAGGGACCTGAAGAAAAAAAAACAGTCAAAAAGCTTTAATAAAAAGGGGTTGGTGCAAGTATTTTACTCTTGTTTTAATCGGCTATAGTCTCGAGACACAGGAACAAATAAAACCCTGAAAAACATAACCGAGGTTTTGGGGTCACGGAAACGACACTGTGAAGAGAGTAACGACAGAGATTTTTTCTTGATTCCTCGGTATTGCAACACGCATCCTGTACTGCGCATAAAATTGCCCATAGTACCTTGTAAATCAGCGCTCGTATTTCGATAACATGACGGATTTCTATATTTTACTCAGTCAATGGACGACCTTAAAAAAGTAAGATGGTTTTTTCTGTTGACCGTCATTTTGAATGGCACAATAATGATGTAAACATTTTCACCTTTGGGGTGAAATATTTGAAAGAAAGTGAACGGAAGGAAAAAGATTTGACTCCAAGCTTGCATAGTCATCAACCAGGGATGCAAACAACGACTTAAAAAGTACGACCAAAGGAACATTCTAAGCCTTCTGAAAACTGTGTATTTTTTCCTAACGCTGTATATTCCATTGTTCCAAATGCTCGAGAACTTACTCCTATGAAGTAATTTTTTTCAGCATTGTCAAATTTAAAAACCTGCTTCAAGTTAGACATAGTTTGATGCTACACTGGTTTGCAGATTTAATGAATGTAACCGAAGAAGTTACAATTCATAGACCCAACGTTTCGACACTCCTGTCTAGTGCCTTCATCAGGGGTGATCTAAACGCTGCAACAAGAGGTCCTTTTATATGATCACTAATTAGCGGCCTTTTTTCTGACGAGGTGTAAATAGGCGCTATCGTCACGATTTAAAGGAGCGTGGGAGGAGTTATGCCAAGCCTCTAAACAAAGGCGCTGGTGGTAACGCCGATTAGTGGTGATAATTTTAGAATTATCCCACCCAATTGTATGGTTGGTTAGGCAAGTATGCTCCGATAAAGCTGAATTTTCCTTTTTGCAAAGAAAAACCGCTTTTTGGTGCTCTTTTAACCGTGTACCAAACTGACGTTTGGTCTGTCCGATGTATTCGTTGTCACAGTCATTGCAAGGAATAGAATAAATGGCGTCGGTTCGTTGTTCTTTCTTTCCTGCTTCAAGTTTTCGGACGAAATGAAAATAAATAATAACGCGTGTGAAAAATAATGTGAGACACGATATTCCCAGAACTTCCAAAAAAATTATTGTAGAATGTGATAGAAAAATCACCACTTTTCCGAGATTTTGAAGAATCTATTCCATACAATTAAAAAGAAAAGCGCGTAAGGAGCGAGATTCCTATCTCAGAAGTCACGAGACTCGATTACGTAATCCGAAACGCGAAAATTATAGGTCGCGCGCAAAATCCTATTTTCAAAAAATAACAGTACAGACACAGAGAAGTATAGGCCTATCACATCTTTCTCGCAGGTACAAAGACTCATCTTCTTAATTGATGTTTCGAGAAGTATCTAAAAGCCAGTAAAATTTGGGTGATGAAATCTTTCTGCAACATACCTTTTAACGAAAAGAGGTATGAATTTTTGTCCTTTGTCGTATTAAAAAAATTTCGCCTACATTTGTTTTCGAAAGTAGTGCAGTTTCTGTTATATGGTAACAGTTTCGAAAGTCGAGGACTTAGTGCAGTTATCATATTTGATCCTAGTTCACAAATGCAGTTGTTATAATTGGTTTATTGCTTCTTGCGACCGTTCTATGACGCCTTGCAATGATGTCGGGAACGCGTTCGTTAAACCTGTTGAAAACGAATGTAAATATGCAAAATATCACATATGTGAACTGCGGTTGAAGAAACGAAAATGGAAGCGATCCTCGCAGTCATGAACACCACTTAAGTAGTAGTGAAAATAACGCCTGAAAAAAATTCAGGCCTGTGCCAGCAGGATTTGAACCATTGACCTCTGGAGCTGGTCAGTATGTTGGTTGGTTCCAACTTTACGGGTTTATTTGGAACCAACATAACGACCAGTCCCAGTTAGCTCAGTTGGTAGAGCGCTGCACCGGTATTGCACAGGTCATGGGTTCAAATCCCGTACAGGCCTGAACTTTTTTCAGGCCTTATTTTCACTTCTGCTTACGTAGTGTTCATAACTGCATGGATCGCTTCCATATTCGTCTGATGAGAAACGTTGTCGCACTGCAGGTTGGTTCGGTTGTAATGACAGCCATACTAGCGGAGTCGTGGCAACTTGAATAGCATATCCCGTAAACCGCATTCATCGCAGACGGGTGCGGACACCGAGAATTCGAAGCCAGAAACTTATCAGGAAACTTAAACGTCACTTCGTTTTTAAGCAGAGGAATATGCCAGAACTTGCGTGAAGGCAAGATAAAAACTTGATCAGTTGGGAAACTATTTACGGTATGGAAAAAAAATTGGATTTCACTTTTTTCCATCGCTCACAATATACAGTGGTACCTTACTCTTATACAATATTTTCATTCTAGAGTATATGATTGTTATTATATTAGTACTAAGATATTAAAAATTTTTATAACTTTGAATCACAGACAACTGACCACGAAAGACAAAGAGGTCACCAACTCGATATCGGTTTTATATTTATATATTTAAACCCAATCAATGCGGTCAAGACGCTCAAACATGCTTAAGGGAACACTGTAATTTCAACAGGAAAGATCACAGATCCCGTTGAAAGAAATTTAGAATTACGTTTGTCACTTGAAGAGTTTCTGAAAATATTAGCTCACATGAGCTTTCAAACTAGCATAGCGTTTTCTACTCTGAATCGAAGTCGAGTACTTTAAAGTTTTGTAACTCTAAGTGAACACTTTTTCAGATGCCAGAGTGGCCAAAGTCGGTGATGTATTAAGGCTGATAGAGATGTTGAATTGACCACCATAAATAACAGCATCGGTAAAGAGCGACATTGCTTGCAGGCCATGTTGATAATCTGCGGCCGAACTAGCCGAATGAACAGTAGTCGAAGAACGTTCAGAAAATTGAGACAAATTTGACTTCTCTACATCATGCGCTCTCCCTGTACTTAGTTAACTCAAAGTAAAAAACATTTTTAATTGCTGTTTTTCAAGAACAACTGAATAATTTTTCATACTTTGAAGGTTTTTGTTACAAACTTTGCAGACTTTCACCCTCAGTTACTTCGCATGGCCGCCCCGAAAGGCGGGGAAACCGATACCATTGGGCAATATGCCTATTGTTCTCGCGTGACATTTACTTGCAGTGGCGAAAATATTATAGATCTGTAATATTAGCGGCGAAGCGTAAACAAGAAGGCTCTCATTGGTCGAAGATCACGCGCGCTTTTCTCCGAAGGGAATACTGCCTTAGCTCATTAGAGACCTTAAGCAAACCACGACGGACACGGAGAAAAAAAGATCTAATTGGCAGAACAATAGCTCAGCTCGTGCGTTTTAAAACTTTGTACATTTCTTAGCCGTCCCATGCAAAACAACAACGTGAAATCCCCACAATTTGCGTCGTCTGCGAATCGAAACCGCGACGTCAAATTATTTTTAATTTCCATTTGGAACTCAACGCTTCTTTTACATGTTATGCTGAAGTTAAAGTGCGGCGCCGTATGAGACGGTAAACACATGCAGCCATTTTTTAAATCTTAATTAAAGGCAGAAAGTAATTTTTTAATCGAAGTCTTCCTCGGCGTTGCCGTCCTGACTGCTCAGGGTCCCTATTAACTTGTCGAGGTGGAGTTCAAAAACAAAGGCCGCGTAACTTATTGTTTTATCTGTTGTTTCTGATATCACACTCAGCATCAGCTCCCGATCGCATACAGATTGCAGGGCACTCGGGGATTCAGTGAGCTCTAAAAAGAGCTCCCGATCACTAATAGCTCGCTGGTCGATGCACACAGTTATGATTTAACCTAATCTGTAAAGCGAAGGTTTGACATCTGATGCACGTGGCAGTTTTAAAATTCGCGGCAATTGTGAATAATTTTATAAGCGAAAGGGTTCAACAATGGGCGCTGTTTAGTTTGACATGTGTATTGTTATTCATGGCTGGGCTGAAGACAATGCCTACTCGCTCAAAACGCGCCATTTTTTAACGCAATTTTTTTCACATGTGAAAAAATCGTATCAGGCTTCGGATTGGTCATACGATATTTTTCACTGGTGAGAAAAATCGTATGACCAATGGAATTGTTTCTCATTAAAGACAGACGATTCAACCTTGGTACATGCATAATAAAGTTACATTTGAAACAAAATTGATATTGAAATATTCCAATATGCACTCGTCTATGTATAGGCAGGCTTCAAAAGCAATCAAAATTTTAACGTACTCAGAATTTTAGCTTACCGTCAAGCTTTCTAAACTTTTCACGTACGAATGAATCACATCTTGACCACTGAGAAATGAAGAAGATTCAGTGTTAGCTATGTAAATATAAACAGTCAATGAGTTATTTTTGAAGACAGAAAGATTTAATTTTAAGGTTCCTGACATAAATTATTCAACGAAAAATGAAAATATATGGAATCAGCCACGAGTTCTTCGTAAGGGCACAGAAAAAACTCGATTAGGTAAATATGCATCAAGATACATAGGAAGGAAGGTAGTTAGGAAGGAAGGGAGATGAGAGGGTCGATCAGGACGTGAGTAGGTATGTAGGGAGGTAGGTTGGTAAGCCAGGGAGGAAGGTACAGAGGTATGTATAGAAGGAAGGCAGGTACGTATGAAGCGTGAAAGGTAGATTGGAAAGTGAGGAGATAGAGAAGGACGTAGTCAGATTGGTAGATGGAGAA